CTCTCTCTCAAATAAATAAATAAATAATCTTTAAAAAAAAAAGATAATGTTGTCAAGGAAATCATAAGGGGGTGCCTGGGTGGCTCAGTCAGTTAAAAGTCGGACTCTTGATTTCGGCTCAGGTCATGATCTCAGGGTTGTGAGATTGAGCCCCGAGTCAGACTCCGTGCTGGGCATGGAGCCTGCTTAAGATTCTCTCTCCCTCTGCCCCTCCCCTCCTCTCTCTCTAAAAAAAAAAAAAAAAGCGGCGCCTGGGTGGCTCAGTTGGTTAAGAGTCCAATTCTGGATTTTGGCTCAGGTCATGATCTCAGGGTTGTGAGATCAGGCCTCACAGTGGGCTCCATACTGGGCATGGAATCTGCTTAAGACTATCTCTCTCCTTCTTCTTCTGCCCCTCTCCCTACCCCATGCTAGCACTCTCTCTCTCAAAAAAAAAAAAAGAAAATCATAAGGAAGAGAAAATTCATCTACAGTATTGTACATATACTTATTGAAAAGAATCCACATATTAGTTGCCCCATTGGTTCAAACCCATGTTGTTCAAAGGTCAACTGTATTATTTTGACATAATTTTAATTAATTTACATCTCCTACAAAAAGAGAAGAAAATATTTAGACCTATTAGACTTTTTTACATATTGACATCATTACATTAGAGTCAAGCAAGATCCTTCAAGATTTTTGTGAGAATTAAATAAATAATATACCTAAAAGTACCTAATACAGTGCCTAGAACAAAGAAAATGTTCAATAAATGCTAATATCCATCAAATACAGTAGAAGGCTTCAGAAAGTCTGTCTGACGATATCTGTTGCACTGCCTGAAACTCTGCTAGGGGGACTCAAACCCTTTGGATTAACATCCTCTTCTAGATTAAAAGTCTTACTCAAACTTGAGGATGCATAAAACTCATCTAGAAAGCTCGTTAAAACACAAATTGCTATGACACCTCCCAAAATTCTGGTTCATTCTAGGGTTAGTCCAGTGAATTTGCATTTGACAAACTCTCGGGGGCTACTGAGAGGTTCCAGGACTATGCTTTGAGCAGCACTTCCTTAGACAGAAATACTTTACATCCCCCCATTCACACCTCATTGTAGATGGGCTTATTAGGTGACTTTTTTTTCTAGGATCTCTCACTAAAGATACTGGAAGTTTGCTATATAAGAAAAGGGAAAGGGGGGTGCCTGGGTGGCACAGTCAGTTAAGCATCTGACTCGGTTTCAACTCTGGTTGTGATCTCAGAGTCATGAGATCGAGCCTCACATGGGGCTCCATGCTCAGTGGGGAGTCTGCTTGAGATTCTCTCTCCTTCTCCCTCTGCCCCCTCACACTTGTGCACTCTCTCTCTTTCTCTCACAAATAAATAAATAAATCTTTTTTAAAAAAGAAAGAAAAGGGAAAAGGGAGAGACAGGCCACAGGAAATTGGGTGACTCAGCATGGTTAAAAACTTGGCATTTCAAAAAGGCAGTCAAAGAACACAGATTACCGAAGTGGGATCAGGTGAAAACATGTGAAGAGATTAAAAGGGAGAGGTGAGAGACTACTCTTGTGTCCTAAATATCTGTGTCCCTCCCCTCTCCCCACTCTCAATGCCTGAAGAAAAATTCCTATGTGGAAGCCTCACAGCCAGTGTGGCTATTTTTGGAAATGGAGATACTAAGAAAGTAATTATGGTTAAATAAGGTCATAAGGGTGAGGTCCTGAACTGACAGGACTGTTGTCCCTATTAGAAGAGACACCAGAGAGCTTGCTCTTTCCCCCAACCCCCACCCACCCTGTACCAAGGAGGCCATGGGAGCACAGCATGAGAAGATGGCCATCTGCAACTGAAGGGGAGAGCCCTCTCCAGACACCAGCCCAGCTGGCCCCTTGATCTTGGACTTCTGGTCTCCAGAACTGTGAGAAAATAAACTTTTTTTTTTTTTTTTTTTAAGTCTATGGTATTTTGTTACGGCAGCACTAGCAGACTGATATAACTATTAAAGACTTTTTTACCCCTGCTCAGTTTTTCCTTGGGCCGATCACAACTAAAAGGTTTTCTCCTGAAATACAACATTCTTTAGCTTTAATTTAATTTTCCCTTGCTCTAATGTCAATGGAAACCAAAAATAGTAAGACTTTTTCCACACTGCTACTCTTGTTATTCTCATCTTTTTATCAATCCACTAAACAACATCTAACTAAATAGACTATTTAAATATACTATTTAAAATATACTATCTTTAGGGGCACCTGGGTGGCTCAGTTGTTAAACGTCTGCCTTCAGCTCAGGTCATGATCCCAGGATCCTGGGATCAAGCCCCGCATCGGGCTCCCTGCTCTGCAGGAAGCTTGCTACTCCCTCTCCCACTCCCCTCGCTTGTGTTCCTGCTCTCGCTGTATCTCTCTCTGTCAAATAAATAAATAAAATGTTTAAAAATATATATATATACTATCTTTAAAAACATACTATTTTTGGGGCGCCTGGGTGGCTCAGTTGGTTGAGCGACTGCCTTCGGCTCAGGTCATGATCTCAGGGTCCTGGGACCGAGTCCTGCATCAGGCTCCCTGCTCAGCAGGGAGTCTGCTTCTCCCTCTGACCTCTGACCCTCCTCCCTCTCATGTGCTCTCTCTACCATTGTCTCTCTCTCAATAAATAAATAAAAATCCTTAAAAAAATTATTAAAAAAATACTATTTTTTAAACCAAAAAGCCAAAATAAATTAAATTTCTTACTTGTTCCTTTCCAAGTGAATAATATGCTCTTTTCCTTCAGCCTGAATGATATAAGACACCTAAATGCACAGAGAAAAAAAAAGAAAACAATAAAACACCATCTTATAAATTACTTTTCAACAGGTATTTATAAGACACTGGAAATTCCATCCTGAATTAAAATAATTTGGCACCGACTGAAATTGTTTTACAGAACCTTATAACTGCTCTTAAATAATAAAAAGATACCCTAATCATCCCTACCTTCCTTTAATAACCTATTGTGGGAAATCACCTGCACGTCCATCTAAACTCTCTTTAAATTCATTTATAATTCAGCTGTAACTTCAGGAATTATTTCTATTAAGTCTGGCCATGTATTACCTACAGTGTAAAGTAGTTCTTCCTTTTGTTTAACTGAAATGAATTTCTTAGTTTCAAGAGATTATCTCTAGTTCTAGTTACCCAAAAGTTGAAACTCATACACTCATGATTTTATATTGTCACACAGTTTACCACATTTCATCACTTCTGAAACACATTTTTTTCCCTCAAATGAACACCTCTGAAATCAGGATGCATCAAAGGCACAGCAGTCGAACTGGTAGTACTCTTTCTTTCCTAATTAGTGGTCTATTAAACAATAGTGTGCCTTACAATTGACAGCATCTGAGTCAATGAACTGAGATAAGGTAACCTGCACTTACACATCCTCAAGTTCATGGGACTCTCTTCTCTACCTCAAATAACTTCCCCAGCAACTCACCAGTTCATCCGTCAAAAAAAGAGAAGTGCTTAATGGGATCGCTAGAACCATGAGATTCCACTTTGCCTTAACTCTTTGACCAAAGAGAAAAGTCACAGAGGGACTCAACAAATAATATTATCAGAAGTGTCCTCTTATTTTCCTTACTGTTTCTGGACTCTAACATTTTGCCAAGAAATAGCATGATCCCCTCTTCTAGGGCTCATCAATAGCCCATTTCTAGGGCCTAGACCAAGTTACAGCTCCTGGCACTCTACTTCCACAACGTGAGTGCGAACCTGTGATCTACCTCGATCTCAACTTAGTCATCAAAAATGCCAAGCTCCTAGGTACAAACTTCCAGCGACAAAAAAAAATAAGACAATGGAGATGAAAAGTACAGCATAGAGAATACAGTCAGTAAGACGGTAGTAACACTGTTTGGTGACAGATGGTGAATTCACTTATCATGGTGAGCACTGAATCATGTATAGAATTGCTGAGTCATTAAACTGTACACCTGACACTAATATAACACTGTATGTTAATTATACTTCAATAAGAAAAGAATCAAAACTAAAAATAAAACAAAAGAAAGTAAGAAACAACAACAAAAATTCCAAGCTCCTTCCATCATCACAGTTTGGGCGTGTGCTGTTCTGTCATTTCTGCTCTTGGCCTTTATGATGTAAAAACACCACTGTCCTATCATCTGAGAAAAATTCTGAAGAGTCTGAGAATTGTTTCATAATACTATATTGCTTCCCCAAATATCTGCCTGGATTGCTCATTCCCCTGCTTCTGGTCTTTACTCAAGGGTTGACTTCTCAGGAAGGCTTTCCCAGGCTGCCCTATTAAAAAATACAAACCCTCTTACCCCACCCCTACCCTCACTTCCAGCACTCGCTATCCACCTTCCTGGTATAATTTCTCAAGAGCACATATTACCACCTTAAGTAATCTACATTATTAATCTATATTATTTCTTTGTTTACTGTCTCCTCCCCCCCATCCTGCTAGAATGGAAGCTCCATAAGAACATGAATTTTGTCTGTTTTGTTCACTGCTATATCTCCAGTGACCAAACAGTGCTTCTACTTCTCCAAATATTTATCAGAGCATACGAATGACATTTATTATGATCACAAGTACCTATGTGTGCAGTACTGATGTAGAAATCAGAGACACAATAAAGTGGAAAGCATAGTCCCTGTGCTAAATGAAGAAACAGAGAAAAATAATGAAGCAAGTACACAATTCTATCCTAAGGCAAAACATAAACAAATGGTAGAATGTCCAGTTCAAAACAAAAGGAAGGAAGAATTATAAATTGTAGGGCCATTTATTCCTTACTTAATAGAGAAGAACTACAGTTGAATGACCTACCCAACTAGAGGTAGTACTCAGAGGGCAGGCTAAAACTAAAAGCTCCTGACTCTAAACTCCAGTGTTCTATTTATAAGGCCCAGTCCCTGCACAATGTACAAGGTGCCTTCTACTTATGAATACACCAGCGATTCAGACATAATAAGCTAAACTCTATCGTTCATTATCTGCTCCTGTTAAATTATAGTAAAGTTAGATTATACTACAGTAAAATTGAAGAGTTTGCAAAATCAACTGAATTCCAAACTTATCACTTCTGAACTTTACAGTAGGAGAAAATAGTATAAAAGATCATTTTTGTGCATTGGTTACCCCGTTAACAACATAACATTTCTTCTGATATGAAGATAAAACTCACTTTTGAGTAAACATCCCATATATGAAATATATACACGTAACATACTGCTATTCTCCAGAATCTGTGAAGATACAGTATGAAGTATTCTACCTATCACGAACTAAGAGATTCTTATTATTATGAAAAGAACACTGTAACCATCACCAGTGAGAAAAGGGTTAGAAATCTATATAATCAGCATCCTACCATGGTCACAGAATTTTATTTAATTGTTTCATTCTGTTATGTTTCAAGTTGACCCTTTGTCTTTAAAAAAAAAAAAGTAAAATTTAAATACATACATACTTCTCAAGAGATAACTTGCCTGTTTTGAATAGGGCCTAGGGGCTTCTCTTCGTTCTCTAGTTAATCTCCAAGGAGTTATAATTTCATAAGAAGAGAGATGTGAGGTCTGTTGAAAACCTACAGAAAAAGGAATCATAAATATTAGATAACAAGTGAACATGCAAAACTAAATAGTACCAAAACGTAATGGAAATCAAAAGCTGAATGTTCAAGTCACAGAAAAATCACATGACATTCACATATATGTGTGTATTTACCTATATATATATTATATATATTATATATATACATAATTTTACACAAAAACTAGCAATATACTTGATAAGTACGAAGGGGAAAAATATATTTCCTTAAAAAGGATGTAAGTCTTCACAGTGTATACACAGCAATCATTTTCAAACAATTTTTTGCTATAAACCTTATAAACCCTTTTTCTTAAAAGAAATCTTAAGGTATACACACAAGGAAAAAAAAAATAGAAGTGCTTTGGTGGGGAAATGGAGGGAAGGCATCTGGAGCCTAGCATCATTCACTCATCTCCCACTCTTCACCCTGACCCAACATGAATGATATCCCCTGATATGGTATTGGAATACTTATGAAACAGACAAGGACAATTAGAGGGAAAAGTTAGTTTCAATGCCTGATGGGTTAACTCTAATAAATACACACTTAACAATGTAGCAGTTATCTCAAATTATATTACTGCCATCAATGTGTCCTAAAAACAAAAACTCACTTCTGATAAAATATATTAACAGTGAAGAACTCAAAACAATCATGCAGACTTACTCCCAATTCCAATCCTGTTCAGCTTACTGTACAGTGGAATCATATCTAAGTGGACCTTGGGTTCCAAAGTCATCACCAGAGCAAAAACTGAGTATAATCAAAACTGCCCAAGGAAATCCCTCAGGAAGACACCCCTTATTGGAGTCTGATACAAAGTCTCTCAATACACCCAACACACTATCTTCCAGAATCATTAGTCAGGGCATGTCAATTTTTTCAGTGAACGTGATGAAGTAGATGGTCACCACCAAAGGACCGTGGATGAAAATTCCATATCTCTATATGTCTGTATATATCTAAACCACATTCAGTATAAGGAGGCTTAAGACTAGCATACACAGAAAGACTGAGGGAAGAACAGACATTTTTCATTCAGTGGACCTATTCCATTGTGATAACTCCTTCAAACAAGTTTGGTACATTTACTTATGATATTTACAGGTTTACTTATGATACTTTATAGTCTCATATATATGTGATATGATATTTCATAAATGCTATATTGCAGAGTTGATTAAAGTGAAAATTAAGTCTCTCCCTTCATCCCACTCCCTTTAGGTGACTACTTTAAAAAATAATTATTTCATTATAGAAAATTTTAAACATATGTAACAGCAGAGAGAATAATGAACTCACATGTACCCATTACCCAACTTCAATATAATTTCATATGTATCTCCTCCCTCAAACATACACTATTTTGATACAAATCCTAGATATCATATAATTTTGTTCATGAATATTCTGAATGAATCTCTAAGACATAAGGACTTTAAAAAAGAAACCTTATCCACAATATGGTTATTACACATAAAAAATTAACAATAATTTTACAGGATCATCAAAATTTTCCCTGATTGTTTCAGAATTTGTTTTTTTCCATTGATTTGTTGAATTAGGATCCAAACAGGTCCACACATTTATAAGGCTCTTTAACTTATGGAAGTCCTTTCTTCCCCCCACCCTCTTTTGGGCATTTATTTGTGAAAGAAATTCCACTTAATGAAATTATTTCATACATTGATCCACTGAGTGAAAAATGTGTCTGTTCTTCCCTCAGTCTTTCTGTTTGTATATTCTAGTCTTAAGCTTTCTCATACTGAATGTGTTTAGATACATATAGACATACAGAGATACGGAGATTGAGATAAGGACTTGCAACTTACTTCCTGCACCCCTCGATATCTGTATTGTTTGAATTTGTTTTTACAATGAGTAATTCATAATCCCTGTATTACTTTTGAAATTATAAGGGGGAAAAGAGTATTTGTTCAATAAAAAGGCGTAATCTATTCAAAGTACTGATTATCTAACATCTCCCAAAGCTCCTGCCTTTTCATCAGCCTTACTAACCTCACACCTACAAGACTCCATTGCTTCTTACCTGGTCTCCCTACTCCCACTCTCCTCCTTTGGATCCAACCTGGGTGCTCATTCACTCATTAAGTTTTATGCCCCTCAGATTTCTCAAATACAGATTAAAATGAAGCATTTACAGCTAACTTTCTCCAAGATATCACTGTATATAAAAATGTCTATAATCTTGTCTAGTTTGGGACTTCAAAAGATACAACAGGAAAATAAATTGTATCCTATCCAATACAATACATATCATACTAACAGTTTTCAAACTCTTTACCCACCTTTAAACCCCTTATGTCTTTATAATATGGCATATAATGCTATCTAAAGATGGCTTCAAGTCATTACATAAAAACACCAGAAATGGACTCCAATACTCACAGTAAAGTGACCATGGGCTAATCCAAAGTGTATTTACGACCTACTATAATAAAATATCATTCAGATATTTGGAGTTGTTAATTGGGAAACCATGTCAAAAGAAATCCATGGCCCACAGATGCAGGCTTCACTAGATAGAAATATCCTTAATCCTACATTAACTGAGGTACAGGACTACTTCCTCACCCAGAATAAATCTTTCAATGACCTTTGTTGTTTTCAAATTCCTAAAAATACAAGTTTCAATATTACCCTAATTTCACCCTGGATGATGATAATCTGTTTAACTACTAGGACAGGCACCCGAAAAGTGAGGTTACGGAACCAGACTCGGGCTCTCTGGGCAACAGAAATTGATAAGAAGCCAAACAGGAATTTTTTTTTTTTTTAAGATTTTATGTATTTATTTGACAGAGAGAGACAGCGAGAGAGGGAACACAAGCAGGGGGAGTGGGAGAGGGAGAAGCAGGCTCCCCAAGGAGCAGGGAGACCGACACAGGGCTCGATCCCAGGACCCAGGGATCATGACCTGAGCCGAAGGCAGATGCCCAACGACTGAGCCACCCAGGCGCCCCCAAACAGGAATTTTCAAGCAAGGCTTTTATCAAGGGCTCCTGCGGGAGCAAAAGGCAGACTGCACAAAGCAAAGTGTCCTTGGGCTGGCTCCCTGAACAATGGCCAGGCAAAGTTTTTAAAGCAGCTGAGGCGGGAAAGGAGTGACATATAAGCATGTAGGGGTGGGGAAATACAGGAAATTGGGCCCACAGACACAGTTGACAAACCATGCTTCATATACAGTATGTTTCATTTGCATGTTAAGTTTCCACCTCTGGGCATAATTTTTAGCATCATATTGAGGAGAAACGTCAGCGAAAAGTCAGAGCTGCGGTCCATTTGGCTCTGACTGGTCTGGTCTGGTTTTTGTAGAAGCACACCTGTTGTAAATTGGGTCCTGGAGCTTGTTTCCAGCTTGTGGCTTCTAGCTTCCTGATCACATACAGCCACCTACAAGCTGACTAGAGAAATGGGTTATTACCATTGGTGCTCTGCGGGGGCCCGATTTTTCTGCAAGTTCCTGTTCTGTCTCAGTGGTGCAAATAGTTGGCAGGAATAAAATTGTTTTAGCAGGTAATAGATTAGACACTCTGTGTGACAAAAAGTAAATCATTGTATACATTTATTTGCAACTTCCTGTGACGAGAATTATTTCACACTAAAAAGTTTTTTAAGTAAATCATTACAGGCAAGGATATATACGCTAACAGGTTCAGGGGACTGTTAACACTAGAAGCTAAACAATAAAAAAAAACTCAAGTTTTTTCATTACAACTCAGAAGAAACATCACAAAGAAAAAGAAATGTCTCAGAAAAGAGAACTACAATTGGGCAGGCAGATATTAAAAAGCTTTCAATTTGAAACAGGTTAAATGACTTTATTTTTTTTTTGTCAGTCTGAAGCTATGGATCTTTCTGTGAGACTGTTAGCAAAGAGTAACAATCTAATATAGGAAAACAAGATACAACATTCTTTCTGTCCTCATTTTAAAGCATAATTCTTGTTAGGAAAAAAACAACACCACAATTAATCATTTATTTTTAATAAGACTTTCAAAATTATAGCACCCAAAAATAACTTCTGTATGTATAGCTGTTATTCCAATAGTGATTTCTTGGTTTTAAAATCCAAGGATCTTTCTGAGTGCCATAAGGAGTTCCAGAACATCATAAGAAATGTATATATTTTTTCCCAAATTCCTTTTTTTATTTTTTAATCCCAAATAGTAGCAACCTTCTCATGGGAACCAAAATAACATGTTTCCCATGTTACTATAAAGGAAGTGCATGCACATTATTTGTATAAAGCTTCAGCCTCAGCACTGCTGACAGAAAATTCTTTGCTGTCGGGGGCTACCTTGTGCAATGTAGGATGTTTAGTAGCATTCATGGCCTCTACCCACTAGATGCCAGAGGAACCATCAGTGTGACAACTAAAAATATCCCCCAGATGCCTTCTGGGGGCAAAACTACCTCCAGTTGAAAACCACTATAAGGATATAGTTCACAACGAAAATAAAAATCTTAACAATCAACTAGCAGAGGATACAAATTTGTTATTTTTGAATTTGACAGAATAAGCACACCATCAAAAATCACACTACTAGGAAACAGGGGCTGGAGATAAAAATAAGAGCTGAAACATGAAACTTAAAGAGTCTTCAACTTAGTGAAAGAAAGGGAAGGGTGTTAGTTGTACTTCTTTATTCCTCTAACTCCTTAGATCTTTTTATGAACTGTTTTGAAGGGAGTCTATGTATATGTTTCATAATAGTAACAGTGGTAGAGGGAAACAAGTTAAAAGAATTCTACTTAATTGCAAAGCAAACAAATGTGAACAAAGTCATGGGCTTTTCTCCTTTCCTTCCTGCCTATTATGCAAATAGCAATCTTTAAATACTTTCACTATAGAAGATAAACCTGAGTTCCACATAGAGCATGAATAAAATAATTTTGTTGCCCGAATTATTTCAAAAGAGAAATTATCGTAATTAAATCTATAAAACCCTGTTACTTTGGGCCACGTATTTCCATTCCATTCACAAGGTCAACCCCAAATAAGTATATATCATATATTAATAACTATATTCAAAAATATTTATAATCTCAATTGCTGTCTTACCTTCTTACATTTTTTGAGTGTTATAATTTTTTTTTTACAGTTACCCATCTTCACATTTAAAAAGAAACAGAGCTTTTGCTGTTGTTTGTTTTTAAGTGCCCCTATGGGAAAACCACCAACCACTTATAAGACTTAATGCCCTCGAGAACTTAAGTTCCTCTAGCAAGGAATTTCAGTTTCTTGAGACAAAGGACGATACCTTATAAGGACAATATAATTTATGGATCATGTGTTTCCTGCTCTGGTCCAGTAAGTATTCGATGACTACGTGTTGAGTAAATGACTTCTTATCTTTACGGCCATTCGTAGTAGATCTCCTAACTGTTAATCATCATGTACAACCCGAATTAAGCTTTATTTTCATCATTAATATCTTTTATGCCAATTCTCCAGAAATCCATGTGGTCCACACATTTGTCATTTTAACATGAATGCTCTATTTCATTGTATGGCTCTGCTATAGGCTGCTTAGCCACCCCTCTCGGGTAGCTGGGATCCGAGCTTCTACTCACAAAGGATTCTAATGTATCAGTGAAGCCAATGGAGCAGCTCTCCAGGGGTCTACTTGCATAAGGGTTCTAAGGAGCTACTATAAAAGGAAGGGGGAAAAACCTCCTAAAATGAGTTAAACCATGAAAAATCTCATTAAAAGAAAAATGTGTCAATGGGAAAAAGGCACTTCCCATATACTGTCCTACAGTATAACAAATGTCTGGCGGTGGCATCACGTTTACTTCTTATAAACTAAGATACTCGAATTCTTATGTTACGATAAACATAAACAAATACAAAAACATACTGCATACTTAAAAACTGACCAAATTAAGCGAGCTTCTCAGGTTTCCTAACTCATTCTTAAAAGGTCTGATTCAAGCAGTATCTCACACATGATCACTTCAGAAAAATGATTTGACTAAAATAACAATGTCACAAAATGAGAAATAAACTAGAATAATCTCTCCATATGCAAAAAAGATTGTACAATTCAAAGTGATACCAGGAGGACTAGACCTACTGATGAGGCAGTCCTACAGCACTGACTCAAAGGATAGCATAACTCCAAGACTCTGAGATATACTACATATCAAAAGGAAAAAAATATCAGGAGGCTATGTCATTATACCTGGGGTTGTGCATATTCCAGGAAAAAGTTTTCAGTTACTTAGAGGTTGCACCTTCGGAGATACTCTATAATAAACCAGGATTTTTAACAAAAACAAATATAAAGTCAACTTTGGTGAGATAAAATTTAAAATGCTTTTTGAAAATTGTCTGGAACCCAGCAACTTGTTTTGTATATATTTCAATTATAGATGTTTTCTTTTTTACTTAAAAGTTGGAAAGCAAAACTACCTTTAAATTTAAAAGACTGCTTTCTCCTTTACAGCAAAAACACAAAGATATCAAATTCAAATAATTTGCTGGCACCCAAAACAAAATTAGAACTGGACTGGACTTAAGTCCAACAAAATTGGACTTAAGTTCTTACTATGTAGTTTGTTTTATAGTGATTCACCATGAGTAAGCTTTAAAACTCAATGTTTTTAGAATGCTAGTCTTTAAAAAAGAAAAAAAAAATTCTAGGTCTGCATCATAATTACTATCTTAAAAAAGAAAATTGGAAAAGGTTTCATACCCAATTCCTTTGTTATGTTTTCACAATGATATAAAGTTACCTTTGTCAGCCTCTGTTTTTTGTTGTTTTTTTTTTAAGTTTACTGTAAGTGTCAGCCCTTTGGAATTTATACTGCATTTCCTCATTGACAGAGCGTTATAAATGGTAGTGAAGATCCTACCAAAACCTATTCAACTTCTAGTGTAACTAATGTGTGGGTGGTACTTACTGAGTCCTCAAATTCCTCCTCATTAACAGAAAATGTTTCACTGCATGTTTTAAACATCCTGTATTGCAAAAATTTAGTCAGCTGATTTTGGAGGAACATTCCCCTAGAGAAACATGAGTTGACTCACTGCTCACTATTATAAAAGCCTCTCAACTGGTCTCTCCCAGCCTCCAGTCTCTCCCTCCTGTATTGTCCTCCACTGCTTTGCCAGTTAACTTAACCGCAAATCTAGTTATGTCATATTGTATTTGAAAAATCTTGTTGCCCAAAGAACTTCTTACAGGGTAAAGTACAAACCCCTTAGCAGAGAAGGCTCTCCCCAGCGGTATTTCTTCCTTGCCTCCCTTTCATGTAGACCACCTGCAGATATTCTCTTCATCCCCTAACAAGTCATGTTCTTTTACCCCTCCACACTCTTGCAAAAACTCTTTTTTCTTAGAATGCACTCATATCCTTTGACTTGAACATTCCCTGATGTAGATGAGTTCAAATAACACTTATACTATAAACCTCCCCCAAGGTTTTATACATCTCCCAGAAAGACTTTGCACATTTGGTCACCCTATGCCCCTCCATAAGCATTAAGTATGGTGTTTTACAGGAACTCGATAAATGCTGACTAAATTTTGAAAGCATACCCACGCTTAAATGAAGGATTGGCCATAAACTGTTAACGCCATGGTTAAAACCCATAAGGATATTCTAGGGCGGCGTGGGTGGCTCAGTCTGTTAAGCATCTGACTTCAGCTCAGGTCATCATCCCAGGGTCCTGGGATCCAGCCCTGATTGGGGCTCCCTGCTCTGCATGTAGTCCGCTTCTCCCTCTCTCTCTGCCCACCCCCCTCGTGCTCTCTCATGCTCTCTCTCTCTCAAATAAATAAATAAAATCTTAAAATTTAAAGAAAAATCCTAAGGATCTTCCATTCACCTATATGCAAGTATCCAATAATACATACATTAACATTAAAAATATAGTCTTATTTATATTTGCAAACAGAGAATCATGGATTACTAAAACTCCAAATGTATACTACACTTCACCTTATAGATTGGTAAATGTTAACCGTCTATGAAAAGCACAGCAAAAACAGTGTTAACCAGAAAAGATATGGTGTCTTCCCAGTCAATGAACTTTCAGTATTTAGAGCTTCAGAATTCCGACTATGAGGCAAATTTACTTAATTGCAAAAAAAAAAAAAAGAGATACAAAAAAATGTAGTTTCCTGAAGGTCAGCTGTCCTACATGGAAATCTTCCATCATCACCTATGAGCAACTCTCAAGGCAACCTTTAATAAAAACCCTCATTTTCCATCATACTTCACGGCTAATAAAGAAAATAAGAGCCATGCAAACAATAATTTAATGCAAAAGCCAAAATAAACGAAGCCGTTTCCAGAAAGAAGCTATAGAGTGTTAGCAATTTGTTTCCACTACGTTTGGGCATCTCCAGGATAAAAACCTTACATATTCAAGGAAGTTTCACAATTCAAAAGCAATCTCACATAAACGATTTAATTCTTACCATAATCCCGTGATTTAAACAGAGCAGGGATTATTTTTACGGATTTACGGTATTACGAACCCTGTAAAAATGCAGATAAAAGATTGTTTGGCTATAGAAACATAGCACTTCGCTTCCAAAAATAAGTACTCTTTACTGTAACAACAAAATGGCCCAAGACAAATGAGCAACCCCCCTTTATTCCATCACTAAATTTAGTTCGGTGGACATACTAGAGACTCCGCTATTAAAATGAACGTCAAAATTTCAAATTATGATAACCTGGAGCAAAAGTTCCATCTCCCGGTCTCTTTCCAAGTGACATTAACTCCACAAGCAAAACCAAGCTCCATTTCTCAAAGCAGTTTAAACAAGAACACACCCTCGGCGCGCACTCAGACTCCAAGGCTTTCAGCCGACTCCCCGAGGTCTGAGTCGGTCCCAGAGAAGTCCCAAGAGAGTCTGGGGGACCCAGTTTTGAGCGAGATGGGGGTGGGGCGCACTGCAAAAGGCTCTGCCAAGCCGGAGACGGAGGAAAAGGGACCGGGCAGGAGGACACTGCCAAGAAGGGTTTGGGGCGCCAGACCCCGAGCCTCGGGTCCGAGCACTCTCCACACACAGCTGGAGCGGCTCCGCCTCCCGACCCCAGGTCCGGTCCCCAGCCAGGCCCCTCCGCTCCCAGGCACTATAGGGTAACTCGGGGCGTCCCAGCCCTAGGAAACAGAAATCTCAGAGGTCCCTGGGGGGCGGACACCCACCTGGCCGAGCCCCACCGAGAACTGGGCCCATCAAGCCAAACAACAGTAGCCACTGGAGCCGGAGGACCCCAAAGGGCGAGCCCGCGCCCGATCCCATCGCGGCAGATCCCGCAGGTTCCACTCAACACTCGGTCGCCTCTGCCTCCGGCTGCTCCATCATTTCCCAGCCCTGCCGGGGCCCCAGAGCTGGCCGGGATGCGCGCGCCCGAGACGAACACGCGCTCGGCACTGACGCAACTCGGCCCCTGTCCGAGCTCGCTCCCGACATCGCGCTCCCTACGCTGACGTAGAGAAAAATCCAGTCGCCGGCGGGAGAAGGGGATTTCTGTCCCCGCCGCTAAAACCTTCACTAGCCTGCCCCGCCCCTTCACACTCGCTGCCCCGCCCACTGCCAGTCACGCCCCGCCCTCTCTGCTCCCAGGCCCGCCTACTTTGGGCGTAGAAGGATCTGATTGGAGGAAGCACTAGGAGTAAAAGAAGGTGGAGCGCGAGACCCAGAAGCGGAATTAAGGAGCAGAAATGAAGGGCAGCCCCGCCCCCCTGCGCAGCCTTTTCTGATTGGCTTGTGGGCGTTAGGCGGAGCGTCGAGCTGCGCGCCCATTGGCTGCTTGGTGGCGAGGAGTGAGGCTCGGCGGAGAGGCCTGACCAGGCAGGGCTTCCTTGGGTCGGATGTGCCGGCCCGGCTTTGTGGTTGAGGTCGGGTCTCAGCCACTGGGCCCGGGAAGATGGTGCTAGGTGGTTGCCCGGTGAGTTACCTACTTCTGTGCGGCCAGGCGGCTTTGCTGCTGGGGAATCTACTTCTGCTGCACTGTGTCTCTCGGAGCCACTCGCACAACGCTACCGCCGAACCCGAGCTCACATCCGCTGGCGCCGCCCACCCAGAGGGCTCCGCCGGCGCTCCGAGCTGGGAATATGGCGACCCCCACTCTCCAGTCATCCTTTGCTCTTACCTGTAAGCTATCCAGTCGTCGAGGCGGAGTTGGAGATGGGGCCAGGGATATATGGGTGTTGGGATGGGGGAAGGGAGGCTGCTTTTTTTTTTTTTTCCAGACGCTCTCCACCTGAGGACCTGATAGTCAACACGCGGGAGGTAAATTTCATGACAGGTTTCTCACTCCTCTCACCCATGCAGGGGAAAACCTTGTGTGTCGGTGGTAGATCCTTTGGGATTACAAAAGAGGGCGGAGTGACACCATATAGTCTCCGGAAGAAGGGTACGAGGTTGTGCCTTCTCTATCGTGCTTCCTTTAACGAAGGAGAATCCATCGTAGGTGCTAGTTATGACGCACAAATAGAGTACATTACTTGTCCTTGCCTACAAGGCACTTTCTTGCAGGATCCTAACCGTTGCAGAACCAACGGCTCTGCATTTTTAACATCTCTTTTTAGTCAATGAGAAAAGGCGTTTGGGAAATGCAAAGAGAACTGGGAATCCTTTAGCTTCAATTTTGCTCCCATAGCCTTGTGGCTCTTTGCCTAGGAAAGGGAGAAAGCCATGGGAGAAGTAGAATCCATGTAGAAATAGAACCAGAAGCACTCCCCTTCCCCAATAAAAGGATCATTTGGATGGCTATTTGACCTGCTGTTGTTCAGTCTGATAGCATCTCTTACCTTGGGGATCAGTCAGAATTAAACCCTAAGAAACGTGAAGAAATCTCTTGCCTGTTTTTATTATATACACGTAAACAGCCATTTGCAAAAACCATATGAGAATGATGGTCATGATCTTACTGGTGATTTACAGACCTGATGAATTTATAGAATGTGACGACCCAGTGGATCATGTTGGAAATGCAACTGCATCCCAGGAACTCGGTTATGGTTGTCTCAAGGTGGGTTTTTATTTTGTTTTATAAGCAAACTCTTCCATAGAGAAATAGTACTGACTAAATGCTTTTACAAAAAAATATAAGGGGTATGAAGTTACCTATTTGTAGACGTCATTAGAATGACTTACTGGAAATTTCCAGCATGGCCAGCATCCGTGATTGAACAAGACATTTCGTTTCCTCAGGAAGAAGCAATGTCTGTCCCAAAACTACCCAGGTGCACAGACCAACCTGTCTTTGGTTCTTTGGGCTGAGACTGACTGATTTAAAGCTATTATGTCACCTCCTCATTATTCTTCAAGCGTGCACTTTCCTAAAAGAACAAAAGAAAGGCTTATGCACTTTCTAAAACCAATATTGGATTGAGCTGTATCTTTGTTACACATGCATCTGGGGCAAAGCTCCTTTTGCTAATGATCTTTCTTTTCACAAGGCAAGCAGTTTCCACCATGTCCTTAGGAAATAGACGGGGTCTATTAGTATCTGCCTTTGTAGGAGGTTATAGTATTCAAGGAGAAGCCTTTGGTAACAATGGCCTCTTGGAATGGAAAAAAGCCATTCAGTTCCATTAATAACATCCCAGTTAGTCTTCCCAAAACCAGTGAAGTTCATGTACCTCCTCCTCATGCTGCATAATGCAATTCAAGATTCAATCAGGTGTAAGAGAGTTATGGGAAAACATGGTTTGTACTAAATCAGAGACAGAGGAATAAACCTGAAAGTATTAAGACCAAAAAGGCAACTCTTACTGCAATCATGTGTAAAGAAATATTTTCGGGGCGCCTGGGTGGTTCAGTCATTAAGCGTCTGCCTTCAGCTTAGGTCATGATCCCAGGATCCTGGGATCGAGCCCCGTATCAGGCTCCCTGCTCGGCGGGAAGCCTACTTCTCCCTCTCCCCCTCCCCCTGCTTGTGTTCCCTCTCTCGCTGTGTCTCACTCTGTCAAATAAATAAAATCTTTATAAAAAAATATATTTTTTCAATACAATGAGATTTTGTTCTGTTGATAATTATCAAAGAAGCTTTTGAAGGTTTGAGTTAGCATTGTATAGAGATCACTTACTTTTGCCCATTTTATTTTTTTTTAAAGATTTATTTATTCATTTGAGAGAGAGAACAAGGGGGGGAAGGAGGGCAGAGGGAGAGAATTTCAAGCAAACTCCCTGCTGAGCATGGAGCATGGATGAAGGGCTTGATCCCATGACCCCGAGACCACAACCTGAGCCGAAATCAAGAGACAGATGCTCAACCAAATGAGCCACCAGGTGCCCCTACTTTTGCCCATTATAATTAAAAACTGAGTTGATCCTGTCAGGCCACTCGAACTGCCACTTTCCCCAGAAGTCCTAGAGGACCAGTACTCAGGCACCTGAATCCCAGGGGAGGTATGATTTCCAACTCCCTTTCCTTTGAGGAATGCACCAATGAAAATAATAGTGAAGTACTTAATAAGGTGCCAGTGGAGAATGTACAGTTGTGCTTTCTCTGCTAGAATTGTTACATAAATGGTAAGAGGTCCTGTTCTGAAATTTTTTTAATATTTATTTGACAGAGACAGAGAGAGAACATAAGCAGGGGGAGTGGGAGAGGGAGAAGCAGGCTTCCCGCCGAGCAGGGAGCCCCATGCGGGGCTCAATCCCAGGACCCTGGGATCAGGGCCTGAGCCACCCAGGTGCCCCTGTTCTGAAATTTTTTGCTGAAATTTAAACTTATACAGAAATGTACTATAGCTATCTGATAATCACACATTCACAAACTAAGAAAAGTTCTGAGTCAGATGATATTCTGAGGTCTTTTCCTAATTATATTCATTTGTAATATATATAAAACAACCTTCTAATACACATTGACATTTTAAATACCCATTCCCAAATGCTCAATAATGTGCTCTTTCCTGTAAATATAGAATAATTAAAACATTGTGTACATTTATTCTAAGTGGCATTTAATGAAACTGATTATAAATTTTTTCACTATATTAAAGAAGCTAGTCACAAAGAAGAAAAAGTTTATTTAAAACAACATACAATTAGGGTGGAATAATTTAAAATCACTTGAATCACTGAATTCCTTGCTCTTGAACACAGCTTTACCCCAACTTTGTTAGTATAATTATTGTCCTGAGTCACCTCTTATTAATGAATATAAAGATCTATTTTGTGTAACTTGCTTTGGTGAGTTTGGGTTGTTTTGTTTTGGTTGTTACACCACAGTTTGGTGGGCAGGCCTACAGTGACGTGGAACACACTTCTGTCCAGTGCCGGGCCCTCGACGGGATTGAGTGTGCCAGTCCTAGGACCTTCCTACGGGAGAATAAACCTTGTATAAAGTAAGTGTTACTTTGAATGGGGTAGTTGGTACTTGGATAGAGGTAGAGCTGTTTTCCTTGTCATCTCATGATGTGACTTTTTCTTTTATCTTAAGTGTTAAAAGGGGCAACATGATTACTACTTTGCATAATCCATGGACAGGGGCGATGTGGTTATAAACAGAAAGGACACTGGACTTAAGATCCTAGAGGCCATTAGTTCTAAATGTCTCTTTCATCAACTAGCTAAGTGCCTGTGGAAGCCCAGAGACTCTGTTCCTCACCTACAAAATAAAGGAGTTGGACCAGTTGATCTAGCTCCAAAATTCCTATGATAGACATAAATCCTGTAAAAATAGCCTTAATATTTGAGGAATAAAGGCTTTAATTTTTTTTTTAAAGATTTTATTTATTTGTCAGAGAGAGAGAGAGCGCAAGCGGGAAGTAGCAGGCAGAGGGAGAAGCAGGCTCCGCGCTGAGCAGGGAGCCCAATGTGGGACTCAATCCCAGGATTCTGGGATCAAGACCTGAGTGGAAGGCAGACACTTAACTGACTGAGCCACTCAGGCGTCCCAGAGGAATAAAGCTTTTATGAAAAGTGTGGCTCTCTCTCCTGGAAAATAAGTTTATCTTAAAGAATTAGGGTCATTTCTGTAAATTTTGCTGGAAGGCACAGAATGTATTTATATCAGTTGCTAATGGAGAATCTGTGGTGTTTAGTGACGATATTGGAGCAGTTGCAATGGAGTGTTATCGCAGTATGTAAGACCTAAGTCCTTATTGAAGAAACCTCATTTTTAGTTGCCACAAAACAACAGGAGGGTATGTGGAGATCAGTGTTCATCTGAGGAAAGACGACGACATTTCCTTAGAGAACTGCATTCAGATGTGCGGCCTCAGGAACGGAGCCTGAGTCAGGGAGGGATGTGGGCCCAGACTATACTCCCAGGATGCCTACAGAGCATATGTGCTTGATTATTTCTTGTCCAATCCAACTATTTGTTCCTTTCTTTATGTCCTAGGTAGTACTCTTTTGAGAGCCCAGGCCAACTCTAGATTTTCCTTTTGTGGAGGATAAGAGGCCACAGAAGGACTGCTGCACCATCTTTTCATTTATGTTAAATTCATTAGTCACTAAGTGTTTTAATTTTCATGGGGTAAACATCTTCCTTCTCATTGCTTCTGTCTAGATATACGGGACACTACTTCATAACCACTTTACTCTACTCCTTCTTCCTGGGATGTTTCGGAGTGGACCGTTTCTGTCTGGGACACACTGGCACAGCAGTAGGGAAACTGTTGACACTTGGAGGACTTGGGATTTGGTGGTTTGTTGACCTTATTTTGCTTATTACTGGAGGGCTGATGCCAAGTGATGGCAGCAATTGGTGCACTGTTTACTAAAAAGAGCTGTTGTCATGGCCTAGAGAGGCATGTCTTCCTACAGGCTCAAAACTCTGATAGCAGACCTGATTATTACTTTCCATCCCTGGAGGGAATCAGTTTGGTTAGGAAGTTTCTTCGGACTCTGGGTTTTCAACCCAGATTTTACCTTGCAGACTAGAAATGACAAGCAAACAGTGTTTGGGAATCAAGTGTGTACCTTTCCTCACATACAAAATATAAAGGCTAGTGACTAACTTAGTAAGTTGCAGAGGGGTTTCCATACTGTATTTCTGTACATTGCTGTATCTTCAATACTTTGGAGCAAGTGGACCCAACAAGATGAGCAAAGTGAATATTTTTAGCCTTGTGCCTTTTGTGACCCTGAATCTTCATGCAGAGGAGATCTGAAGCTGAACCAGTGAAAATCTTCAGCAGAAGTAAAATGGCCATGGATTTTAATACACACTGAAATTCTGACTTTCTGAATTTAAATTGTGGAATAAATTTTGCCAACCTGGAATGCTGTTTGTTATTTTCAATAAGTAGAGTGAGACTCAAAATTCTGTGTTTTGCTAAAAGCTAGGCATTTGAAATGAACCATTCTACTAATAAACCCTATTGTTACATCATTATTATGCTCCAGAGGCAGCATATGGAGTACAATAATTTCTTCATTTCAATTATATTTTGAGAGCCCAACAATAATCAGATATGTCTGGGTTAAGCTATCCTCTTGGTTATCCTATCTAAAAATTAATTATTTACTAGTTCAGAGAGCCTATGTTGTAGGCTGGTAAAAAAGATCTCCTACAACTAACTATAAAACTATTCACAATTATGTTAGATAAGTTGTAAAGCCTCGTACCTTTGGGGGAAAAAAAAAACAAAACAGATTGTTACTTAAAGGACAGAATTACTGAGTATTGGGTGGAGTCAGGATGTGATTTATGGGGGCAAAAAGAAAACATTCGTTCAAAATAAACATGGTACCAGAAGCTCTCGCTGTGGACTACTAGAGTCCATTGTCAGGAAAAAGAGACAGCCAAGCTTTTGCATTCCCAAATCACTGGGAATAAAAGGAAATGTTCTGAATTATAAGTTCGGAGAAACTTAGTGCCTCCTTTGTAATTTAAGTAAAAGGAGGACTTTACAGACAAGTCGAATTTGTCTGTAAGACAAGTTTAACTTTTCATTTAACATAAATGAAAAATAAGAGCCCGATATTCGGGATAAATTCTAGAAACAATCAAGGTAGAACTACTCAAATGTTAGTCTCCTAATAGTTGACCTAAAGAACCAAGAATCACAGTTAAATTAACACTGGATATGCTCTATCATTATGAAGCAGCTTTTCTAAAAGTTTCAGGTTTATTATCCCTGATTATTATGATTACTGTTCTTATATTATTAAATGGTTGGTGAATGTGTAAAAATTAAAACAGATTATTCTGTCTTGAAAATTCTGTACCACATTGAACTTAACCTTGTTTGTAACAGTAATAATTGGTAGATTCTTATTCATAATGTTTGTACCATAAGTATATAGTATTTTTTAAATTGTTGGAGGTCGTAAAGAAACCGGACCCCCTCCCCAGGAAAAAATGCACATAAACAAAGTTTTGCATAGAATTTAAGGAGATGCCATATTTAAAAAAAAAAAAATCCTAACTTGGAAGAAAAATCTGGAAAACAAATTAAAATCTTAGTGAAGAAAATAAGATACTACTCTAAGCCACAAATCCTGCCTCATCTCATACTTGTCAAAAAAAATCTCCTTCAGGATATTCCCAAACCCCATCAAAAGCTATTTTCTTTAAAAACACCAACACTTTGGCAGCTTTCAGACTCAAAATCACTAATGTTGGCAGGAGGATGAGTATGGGTAAGAAGGTCAAAGTCTGTAAGTTACTGAAGGATCTGTCCCATAAAAGAAACCTTCTTCCATTCAGAAAGCTTTTGGAGACCACTGCCAGGGTGATCAAGAGAATCTAGTATTTCTCCGTGACAACCTGCAGTTGTCAGTTTGAAATTGACTTACAAACCATGCTTATCCTCCGCATATACCAACCCTGGCCAAATGTGGTACAACCTCAAAAACTGATTGAGAAAGGCAGTGTTATGAAAAATTGGATTTCCTTTGCACTTTGGATTCAGGTTGTTTCTTCATATTTGGTAGGTTTATTCGTGTGTGTGTGTGTACACACGTTTGTGTTAAATCCAGTTTGTGGCTATAGAGAAGTTTCAAAATCCACAAGTGTCCTTTTGTCTAGATTAAATTAGAAACTGTGCTTGTTTTCCAGTTGTTTCCTGTGTTGAAATAAAATGTTATCAGCTTCCCAGACTTCCTGGCACCATGTCCTTCACTTGCTTTAGTAAGGCTTCTTAGCAGTAGTAGAGTACCCCAATCTAATGGTCCCTAAGTGTGTGTGTGTGTGTGTATGTGTGTGTGTGTATCTGTATTTTAAAGCATTCATTTTTCTTAGGAAAGAGACCCTAAAACTTGCTAACTTTGGCACATCTTCAGTACAAACCAGGTAATATAGCTTTGGTTTTGTTAGATGATTTCTCTTTAAAGCTGGATACTTAATTATTTCAGGTGTGACTGTCAGGATCAAAGTTTGACTTCCTCGACGAACCACGATGGAAAGGGAATCATTGTCCTTAACAGCTTCAGTAACATCAGTTGTGGTGGTAACAGGTTGCCCATTTATGCTGACAATTACATCGTGGTCTCAACCCAGAGCTGGGCGGAGGGGGCAAAAAAGGACCATGAAACTATAAGTTTTACTTGTCCCCATTTAGAATTTAATGTCTGTCTTTTATGGCACTATTTTGCTGTCGTTTTTTTTTTAAGATTTTATTTATTTATTATTTATTTGAGAGAGAGAGAGCACAAGCAGGGGAGGGACAAAGGGAGAAGCAGACCCTGCAATGAGCAGGTGGAGGACTCGATCCCAGGACCCGGGGATCATGACCTGAGCCGAAGGCTGACGCTTAACCAACTGAGCCACCCAGGAGCCCCTATTTTGCTGTCATTAAACATACAAACCAGGAAACCAGAAACAGCATCAATCCTTCCAGGTATGCGGGCTTTTATAAGATATGCCTGGAAATCACCTGGGGACAGCAATCCTATTACCTTTATAAAATCAGTCTTCTAACAGAATCATGTAAAAAGTTTACTCCTCCCATATATTGGATTTGGTTTGGAATAGGCAATTTAGCTTTGGATTTTTATCAATCTCTGACCTCTGTAAACCTCAAGCACATTCCTGGTCTTACCAGCAAAGATAAAGAAGAACACAAGCAATATATTTTTTCCCCATACAGTTGTACTCTGATTAGTTTGGTTTTGACAGCCTACTTACTTGCCCCATCTCCACCCACAGCCTGATAGCCCTACTTCCAGTAAGTCAAAAACCAGTCACGCTTTCAAGTCTAAATATTTAAGGCTCTGATTCTAGGCTACTTTTCCCCAAAGTTGTGATTATATTCTGTCTCCAATATATTTGCTTCACATAGAATATATATTCTAGAAACAAAAAACACCTCCAAATATGAAACACTTCAATACATATATAGCCATGCTGATGGCTTCTCTTAAAGTCAATAATGGGCTGGAAGAGGGACATCAAATTAAATGACTCCAGGAGACACCATTTTAAAGAAATGGGAAACCAAAGGAAGGATGCGAGAGGATTACCAAGATACGTGGAATTAATTTTTTTAAAAAATAGAAATTTAAAGCAAGGGATGTGAAGAGAAGTTTGAGGGCAAAGCTAAAAGCATGGAACACCTTTAGAACAAGGACAGCTCAGGAGGATGACTGGGACTGTGCACAAAGAAGAAACTTAATCCATTGTAGTTCTGTGAGTAGAAAAAGAGAAAGAAACCTGCCAGTTATTACTGAAGGTAAACTACGCACCAAAATGGGGAGTGAGGCTCAGCTAGGATAAATAACCTAGCCCATGTCCCACAGCTTGGAAGGGACTAAAGGAGGATTTGATCCTGGGTCTTTCAAACGTGAAAACCCACCTTCCTGCTACTCACTCTGCCTCTTAGAAACAAGAGAGCAGCTACAAAACAGGATAATCCACGAGCTAAGCCAGATTCCACATCCCTGCATTCTACTTATATGTACCTCTCAAGTTAATCACCTCTCTGTACCACAGCTGCTGTTTCTGTAAAATAATGCCTGTATCATAAGACTTTGGGGGCTCAAAAACATATCAAATACTTAGTGATGCCTGACATACAGTAAGTGGTTAATAAGTGCCGGCTGTTATTACTGTAATTATTATTAGATTTAAGTGTATAAAGCCAGAAATAATAGATTTCTGGTTTATCAGTGACTTCAAGCAAGCAGTAGTCCCACACTTTAATGTTCAACCAAATCACGTGGAGGTCTTGTTTAAAATGCAGATTCTGATTCAGTGGTGGGGCCTGTCATTCTGCATTTTTTTCTTTTTTTTTTTAAGATTGATTTATTTGAGAGAGAGCATACGAATTGGGGGAGGGGCCGAGGTGGAGAGAGAAAGAAGCTGACTCCGCACTGAACACGTACCCCAACTCAGGGCTGGATCTTACAACCCCGAGACCATGACCTGAGCCTAAATCAAGAGTCCGAGGCTCAACCGAGCCACCCAGGTGCCTTTCATTCTGCATTTCTAAAAAAGCCCCAGGTGATGCCAATGCTGCTGGTCTACAGGCCATATTTTGAGTAGCAAGGACTAGGAGAACTGAAAGAAATAGCTTTGGCCTTGAACCAAAAGATAAAAATAAAGAGGTGGGGGGAGGGCAGGAAGCAAGAAAGTCTAGAAAAGCCTATGACAAGCCAAATTTAGTAACATGAGACCTAACATTTAGCTATTAACAATTAGTACCCTATGGTTTCTTCCCCCTATAAAAGAGTTGCCATAATCTAAAAAGATAATTGAGCTTTGAGAAACAAAAGTAGTGAGAGAGGTATACTGAAGAAGTATAAGAGAGGGACCCAGGAGAATAATTGTAGGATGAGCCACCTCTTCCCTCAGTAGTTAGTATAACTGTTTAAAAACAAGAGTAAAATCAGCTGGAGCACTTCTTTGATGAGCTGTTCTAGCATTTGCTTTATTAACATTCACTCATTCTTAAACTTTTAGCCCTCAGAATTCTTCCTATTCTTAATAACTAAGGTATCGAAAGTAAATTCGGGAATTCCTAGCAAAATTAATTTAAACTTACGCTATTAATTCATCATGAATTCTTTAGCTACAAAAAAACCATTCCCTTCCCAAAAAAAGTCCTTCCAACACAAGCACACAAGTCCAAATCAGCACTGTCCAATAGAAATGTAAGGCAGGCCACATACGTAATTTTAAATTTCCTGTAGCCACATTTTTAAAAACTTTCTTAATTTTTAGAAATCTTTTTAAAAATAGATGCTCATTTTAATATACCTATTTAAGTCAATATGTGTATTATCATTTTAATATGTAATTTTTAAAATTATTAATGGGTATTTTAGACTGTTTCATATAAGTCTTTGAAATCCACTAGAAACAACCCACACCTATTGTGCTACTATACAACATCTTACACAATACAGTGATTAAAGTTAAAGGCAGTACTTCCAAAACAAAGGGTATGTTTCATGGAAAAATCTTTTATATTGAGTGCCTCTGTTTTTTTGTTTTTTTTTTTTACTTAAATAAACTAAAATTAAATAAGATTCCATTCCTCAGTCACACCAGCCACATCTCAGTGTTCAACAGCCATGCGAGGGTAGGGCCACTGTACTGAACGGTGCACATCTCGATCCAACACACATTTACCATGGCATGCTAGCTGGGCCAAGGCCTGAACTCTTACCTTTCAGCAACTGTTCCCTGAATCACCTCATACACAAAGACCCCAGAACTCACATCAGGGAAATCTGGATCTTGCCTTTTCATCTCTTGAAGAAGGCTAAGAAAAGTGAGAAGAGTTTTCCCAGAAGGTTAAACAATGAATTCATCACCTGAGCCCTGGTCAAAGCCTCCAACTCAATAGGTACTCTTATGTGTTCTACTCAAGGCTCCGGGGGGCCAGTGAAGATTCCAGCAAGCCAGTCACGGTTATTCTTCCCTGGGAGGAGGGGGGGTGCAGTTCTCTACCAAAGCCCTGAACCACTGGACATTATGAGGTCTATATAGCCACAGTGAAAGAAGCTACTAAAATGTACCGCAAATATTGGTGCAGGCAGAGACAGTTACCTACCCTGTGACAATGGGGCCCTACACTCATAAGAGTAGCCAGCTGTAGTCCACATGCTTTAGATTCCCTGTTAAGACCATCCAGCTATGCCTTTTGCTTCTGAAAAACAACGCAGACACACTGAAACCCATGCTTACTTCATAGTGAGAGGCAGCATTCACACACCGATATACTTCTTCTGTGAAAGAGCCTTTCCTGGAAAGGAAAGTTATAGGGTGTTAGTAACAACAAAGCTTCTTTCCTTTGGCAGAGCTTCAAAAAACAGCAAGTCATGGAACATCCTTACTATTATTATAACTGCCCTTTCAGGCTGTCAGCCTGAAAATGTGCTTCAGAGAACCTCTGTCACTAGCATGGACACTCCTCCCATCCACCTCCCATCTCCAGCTCATGGGTTTCCTTTCCTCCGTAACACGTACTTCTGGGTACAACATAACTAGGCTTTGTGCCTAGTTCCCCCATATTGCCACCCAAACCACTGTGATAAGAGCTGGGTACCAGTGACTCAGTATTCTACAGAATCCTAATGGCAGTCTCCAGAACAGATGGAGGGCTCCTGAAAAACACAAGAAGAAGAAAAAGTCCTAACTCCCCTTACCTTTCAACTGGCGCTCATGGAATTCTGCCAAGAACTGTCGAATTCGATCTGAGGGAATTGCAAAGGAGATTCCCGCGGTCACCTTCAATGTATTTATGCCAATCACGTCACCATCCTGGCAAGGGAGGAGACATCATTCAGTCACCAAGTCATGCAAACTGACCAGTGCAAAACCAGTGCCAGCAGAGGAGGAAATGAAGCTAGTCACTGAGGGTCAGAGCACAGAGGGGCTAGAGGAAAGGGGACTTCCACAGAGAGCAGTGGACGTTGCCTTATAGGACACACAGTGTGGTAGGAAAGCAGAAAGCCGGGGGAGGGGGCGGGGGGGACCCTACCCATGTGCAGATCCCTGCTGAGGACAATTTTTTTTAATCTTGAGTTCATTTTTTCCTTCATCAAATGATTTTAAAAGTGAACCAGTTTGTATTTTGACACAGGTTAAGACGACAAGGAGTACTTGCCTTTTCTTCTCAAATGAAACTAAAAATAAACATGGAAAAGGCAAAAAGCTGTTGGATTTTTCAGCAACACTTTAATGAAACTCTTCAGAATTAGCCAATCTCTTCAGAACTAGCTAATTGACCTCGGAGAACAAAGCTCTACAAAGCCAAAGCCATGAAGTGGGAAACACTTTCCTCTTCATGCACTTCATCACCCCTTAGCCTCTGTTGGGTAATAGGAAGGGTAAAAAAGAGACTTCTGATCATATTAAATTACATATCATAACTCAGTAGGTCTGGAGTGTGGCCTGACAATTGCATGTCACCCCTGCTCTAGTAAACTATCTTTTTTTTTTTTTTAAGATTTTATGTATTTGAGAGACAGTGAGAGCTAGAGAGAGAGAGAACATGAGCACACACAGAGGGAGAGGGAAAAGCAGACTCCCCACCGAGCAGGGAGCCCAACTCGGGTTCAATCCTAGGACCCTGGGATCATGACCTGAGCTGAAGGCAGATGCTTAACTGACTGAGCCACTCAGGCGCCCCTAGTAAACTCACTGTCTACTAGAGAAAGCAAGCACAAGAAAATTACATAAGTAACATTACTATGAGTAAAAAAGAGTGCTCAGTAATTTCACACACAGTTAGCTCATCCTCCAAAAAGCAAGTGTAATGTGTAAAGAACCAAAAACAGTCAGCTCAAAGGGACTCAGCATGATCACAGACTGCGTGTCAAACAGCATTGCACTTTTTTATGTTTTCACAGGTATTTGAGCAACTAGAAACTCTCACATTTCCACTAAAGATGCTGAATAACATCTAAGAATTAAATACATGATAGAGTGATGGATTCTCACTGTGGCTTTTCTCTATCAGGATTAAAAACCCGAACAGACACGTCATGTAGTTAGCATTTAGGGATGAGGGACAGTTCTTCACATGCAGCAGCAGGCGGTCTTCAAGGATAGACATTATGTAGCACAGGTGGTCAGCTGACATATATTTTAGTTTAGTGCCCCGGGCTTTTGTTAACTACACAATGAAAACAGAAGGCATGGTGAAGAGATGTCAGTAAGCGGAAGTAAACCCTGGCACCCTCAGCTGGATGAGCTCACATGCCATGTGATAAATGATGATAAATCCAGCACAGATCTTAAATCTTTGCTAACCATTTACTTAAGATGCAATAATAGAAAAGCATCCTACCACAAATCTCTACACAAGAGTGACATCCTACTCTGCATCATCATTCTTGGAAAGTTGGGAGATGGGACATGAAATAGCAAGGCAAGTGGCCACTTACCAAGTTCACCAGAGGGCCCCCAGAGTTGCCGTGCTGAAGACAGAATTTGAAAAAGTCGCCAGTGCTTTTCTCCTTGTCATTTATACGTAGTTCCTAAAGAGGTTTACCAAAAGCAGCCTGCTCTGGTGAGCACGGCAAAGCCGTGCCCCTGTCATCACCAACACTGAAGTCAGTGCAGGTAAAAGACAAGAGCCAAAGGACCACCACCTTCTACAGCAGGGGTGACCTCTATGAAAGACCCGAAGAGACTGCCCAATATCACGGATGCTGACGATCACATCAAACAGGCCGAACGACATGGCATTCCATCCCCCCAGTGAGGGTCTAACTGAACTCTGGACAGCCCCAACAGGCCAAAAGGAAAAGAGGGGCTTCGGACATGTTCTTCTCACTGTCCTGCCAGGACCTTATGGGCTGAGGAGAACCCTCCCAAGTGACTTATATTAATTATGGCATCCGTCTGGATATAGTCCATGTCTGAATTCTTCGGCCCCAGCGCTCTGCCCCCTCGCTGTGCAGTGCTGACAATCCCTGCAGTCATTGTGTTCTGCAGAGAAAACAGGCTGCCCAAGGCCACCACGAACTCTCCAGCCCGCAGGTCAGAGGACCTTCCCAGCAGCAATACAGGAAGGTCAGTCTGCACACAGCCAGGAGGGACCGGAAGGACAGAGAGGTGACGAAGAAATCAAGAATAGAATCAACCAGTATTTGTGTACAACACACACATGGCATGGTCTCTATCATTTGGGCACTTAAAATCCAAGAACCCGCCACGCACTCATATAGGTTCTACAAGTGCCTGATGTTTCTTCCTCAAATTCCAGCAACCACCGACCTCTCACCTGGTAAGACGATCAGGATTATCTCTAAAATCTAAAATTACTGCTTTGTAGAAATTACTGTAACTAAATGACCAGTGAAGTCGCTGATGAACATACACTGACATTAGCAACTTACTTATTAGCACTATACCAGCTCAAAATTTTATTTTTTTTAAGATTTTTTATTTATTTACTTGAGAGAGTGAGAGAGCAAGCAAGCACAAGGGGGGTAGGGGCAGAGAGAGAAGCAGACTCCCCACTGAGCAGGAAGCCCAACCCTGAGATCCTGACCTGAGCCGAAGGCAGACGCCTAAAGACTGAGCCACCCGGGAACACCCCAGCTCAAAGTTTTATAGTCAAAATTAAACCACAAACAGAAAGGAGAGTGCCCAGAACAGTGCTTCTCAAATTTTAATGTGCACACGAATCACCTAGGGATCTTTTTTTTTTTTTAAAGATTTTATTTATTTATTTGAGAGAGCGAGAATGAGAGAGAGCACGAGAGGGAAGAGGGTCAGAGGGAGAAGCAGACTCCCCGCCGAGCAGGGAGCCCGACATGGGACTCGATCCCGGGACTCCAGGATCATGACCTGAGCCGAAGGCAGTCGCTCAACCAACTGAGCCACCCAGGCGCCCTCACCTAGGGATCTTATTAAAATGCAGATTCTGACTCAGTAGACGTGGGTGGAATCTGAGATCCTGCATTTTTAAAAAATTCTTTCTCAGGTAATGTCAATGCTGCTGATATGCAGACTAGACTTCGCGTAGCAAGGACCTCAGAGTATTCCTAGGCAGCTCTGAATCCACCACAATCATTCCTAGTATTCTAAGGCAAACAGAGAAATAAGTTTCCCAGAAGCAGCATCTGTTGAAGAAGGAGGCTAGATAGTTAATAGAAATTGTTAGGGATATACAGACAGGCATAGAAGAAAATAAAACAGTGAAAAACAGGAAAAAAAGGAAACTAGAGAAGACCATATACCAGGTAGAATAGATGTGGAGCAGGAATGGGGTGGAGAGGAAAATATCAGCAAACTGATGGAAATCCCCAGATGTACAGACTGATTTGGCCCTTGCATACTCACATTTGGCTCGATCTTAATCGGTGCAAGATCCAATTTATGGTCAATGTCCTGGACAGTGGCTTCATACTGGACGCCACTCTGGAGCTCCACCTGGATCCGCTGCTGGTTGGTGAGGACATGGGCATTGGTAACAATGAGCCCATCCTCAGACACTATGAACCCAGAGCCACTGGATGCAGGAATATTCTTGTTGCTAAGAGGTGACCTGTCCCAGCAAGACAACAGCATAAGCAGAGGGCAGGAAAACCAGGGGATCCATCAGTCTGGGGACATGGAACCTCTAATTTATCAAACATACCTCCACCACAGTTTTCTCAGACATCTTACTATCCCCTGTCTGTGTTTTCATTCTCTCCATGTGTAACTGGACTCTGAATGTTCAGCACCCTGGCCATCTCTTAGGAACATGACTGAGAGCTGATCCCAACTCTCCTTTTCCAGGGATGACCCCCTCCCCTCCTTCTTCAGAGCTGGTCAGAGCAGCAACCCTCTGCTTCAGAGAGGCCTCACCTAGTCCTACTACTGCGCGCAAACGTGGACCTAGTGCCACATTCTTGAGGACCCAGGCAGGGAGGGAGTCAAAGAAGTCTGGTTCCAGCTTAGGTTCCACTACTAACTGGCCTTGTGACATAGGATTTCCTTCCAGGCAAACGAGGGGCCTGAGCAAGATCACCATCAGGATGCCTTCTAGCTCTTACATCTGACCTTCCATTTTGTCCGTGGGAGATGAGAGGGAGAGAAACCCCAGACCCCGAAGTGCAGAGGAGTAGCCCAGATTTGGAAGTCACAATCCCTACGCTTCCGCTCTTTGGCTAAACCAACCCCGAACAGATTATTCAACCTGTTTGAGCCGCGATTTCCTCACAGCGAGTTTTACGACTAAGCCTAAGCGATGCCCGTAAAGCCGTAGCGCGGGGGGCCCGGAGCCTGCAGGCGCTCAGAAACAGTCCCGCGGGGGAGCGGGCGGCCTCCTCCTGCCTCCGTTACCTGCGGAACAGCTGCAAGTGAACCACAGATGGCGCCACCTTCTCCACCACCTCCGCGATGAAGTTGTACTTGCTCCGGAGCCGGCCTACACTCCTGGTCCCTGTGAAGAAATGCTCCACTCTTGGGGGCGGTGGGCGCCCCGCTGCTTGGCCGGATCAGGTGTCATATCCCAAATCTCCCAGGCTCTCTCCTCCTCCTCTCTCCTTTCCCTCCCCTTCCTCTCTTCGGCCTCCCCTCTGTATTCACTGCCACCCCGCAAGGATACGCCTTGAGGGACCAGACCTGTCATCCCGGGTGGGGAAAAAAAAAAGAGAGAGACAAGAAGAAGGGAAGACGTCATTCAACAGGCCCGGGGAGGGAAGTGGGGAGAAACCACATGGGAACTGGTAAGAGACACCTAAAAGGAAAGAAAACTGGGAACAAGGAGTTGAATCGGAGGCAAAGGCGGAAAGACCCCGCGGCGCACCGCGCGACACGGGCGCGCGGCTTGGGGACGTTGCGAGCCTCCCGAGCGCGCGGGCCAGCGCTCACCTCCACCCGCGCAGCCGCCCTTCAGCACCGGCACGGCCGGGAGCGCGCGTCGGAGGCGCGCGGCACGCACAGGCTGGCATAGGTGCGCCCGTCGCGGCCGCACACCGCCGCCCCCGCCGCGGGGCAGCCGCACGTGGCGACCCAGGCGCCGCCGAGGCGCGGAGCGCTGAGCGGCGCGCGGCACTGCAGCCCCGGGGCGCACCACCAGGCCAGCGCCCCGCCGCAGGCCTCGCCCTCGGCCGCCGCGCAGACGCGGCAGCCCCGGCAGCGATCGAGCACCGGCGTCAACTCCGCCGAGCAGGTGGGCAGCGAGGGGCAGCGCGTGGGCTCGCAGGCCGCGGGACAGGGCAGCAAGGCCCTGGACCTCCTAGCCTCGCCTCTGGGCACAGGCGGCGGGAGCAGCAGCCACAGCAGGAGGAGCTGTCCCAGCAGAGCTGGCCGCCGCAGAGGTCTAGTCATCCTGCCCCCTTCTTTCTTCATGCTCCAGTTTACTTTGGACCGGCAACTGCTCTAAAATGAGCAACACTTCTTCCCGGCTAGGGTGCCGCCTCCCTCAACCCCCGGGCTTTAAGGGGCAGAGCCTGGCAGACCTCTACACACGCACACCCCCACACGCATCCCCCACCACCCGTCCCCGTCCCCCCCCCCGCCCAGGGCCAGGGCCACCCCCATGCAACCAAGAGAGGTCCCCAGCCCTGCCCTGTGCAGGGACCTACCTCGGGAAGGCCAGAAAACCAATAATGGGGCAGACTGACAAGAGAGATCACCCATCCGCGGGCAGAGGGTCAGCATTAGGAAAACACACACCATATTTCAGTATTTCACATGGTTTTATTACAAAACAAGCAACAAAACAGGTTTAGAAAATTATTTTTTTGCTACATACCAATTAGGAGATCACATAAAATGAGAAGCGTAACAGTTTCCATGCACTCAGCTCAGTGCTTACAGTGAGTGCATTTCACAGCTGAAACGTACTGGTTCAAAACAAAATCATGCCACACTTCAATAAGCAGCGGGGGAGAGGTCAAACAGTCTATTTTTGCTAACATTAGCTTTATTCAAATTCTACTTAGCATGAGTGACTGTAACTGACTGCTGCAGGCAATAACAGAAAAAAGGAGTAAGAAAAGAAAAGTGAGGTTGGTTGAAAAGATTTACTGAACTATCCATTTTTGACATGTTCAAAGTTTATAAACAAAGCTCACTTGGGAAACTCGATTTCCAAAATGCTGTTACTGGTCAACAGTGAAAACAAACATCAAATCCCACTGCTCAACTACTGAATCTATTTAGGTCCTTTAAGCCCATATGAGCGCAGTTATATTCAGCAAGGAAAAAAAACCTTTTGCTTCAAGTGAACTACAGAGCTGGGCCTTACCTCTGCTCTTTCTCATATGAGTGAGCAGCTCAGCATTCTACTCAGAAATAAACATATAACTTTCAATATTTTGACCTGAGTCTACTCTACACCTTAGTAGGTTTATGATGTCTCACAGGATGCAAAAAGTCAAACAATGTTTACCAACCACCAACTGAGCTTGAGTAAGCAAATCCTTAAGCTCTCAAGAATAGTGGATGGTAAATAGTTCAATTATAGGGAAGACCACCTGTAATACTGTTACACAAACTGGATCAGGATCACTTCAATAGTCTTATGAAAACAGCACAACCCAAGAAGGTTTTTATTCCACAAAGAAAATGGCAGTACCTTTTTTGGTTCCTTTTTTTTTTAACTCAGATTTATTCCAGAGCCTATGCATTAACCACTAACCTATACTGCATCCCTGCCCTATTTTTTCCATCTGGTTCCATAGACATTTAAAGCCAAATGCTTTGACTATATATGCACTATCTTTGGCTCACATGTGTAGTGACATTAAAAAGTTGTGATGTGAAATTGGCCAGAAGGTAAGAAACATGGACACAAAAGGAATTCTGAAATAAGGTTTGGGAATGAGAATGCTTACAGACTTCACTGAAGATAATTCTATTTATCTGGTGTTGGAACTACATTAACAATGTTCTCACTTGGTATTCCCAAGTATTTGCCAACTAAAGTCCTTGTTTTCCTTCTATCATAATAATATAATCTAGATTTATAAGTATGTTTAATTTAACACATTCGTAAAATAGACCCTACTGAAATAAGAAACATATCAGCTTACTATAATGGCCAATTAATTCAGCAGTAGTATTCTAGCAGAGAGTTTATTTAACAAAAGAGAAATGGGTACATTTTCACAGCTTAAACACCAAAAGATGACAGCTTTCATGAGTTAGGGAATGTTTAAAGGGATCTCAAAATTTCCTAACTTATTTTTGTTAGAGCAAATATCACTTATTGTGTATTTTCTTTGACCTAGCCAAAGAAGTTTCTTGAGGAAAATTTGAAGATGAAATCAGAGACAAGGAGCTTTAAGAATCTGAAATGACTTGAAGCTGTAACCTCGGTCACTCATAAATAACTAACTCCCAAACCACAGATTTCTGAGGACAACCGTCTACAAGAGTCTGCAAAAAAGAGGAGGGAGGGAGGGAGGGAGGGGGGGAGAGGGGGAGAGAGAGAGAGAGAGAGAGAGAGAGATCCAGTACTAGATGTCTTTTTTCTACCAGGACCACTAGGCCAAACAATTTAAGTGAAGAATAGCTCCAGTGCAATGCGGTCAAGAAAAGTTCTCAACATGACATAGACTTCAAGGGAGTTACCACAGATTTCCCTCAAGCCCCTAAGGATTTCTGATGACATGTTTTTGCCTCTGTATTAGATCCGGACATAAGGAAGGGGAAGGGACTGACTTAGGTAAAAACACATCTCTCGGTATCTTCCTCTAGTTATTGATTTTTAATTTAAAGGTAATTAGCTGATGTAGCTGATAAAAGGCATAGACAGAAATGAGTTAGTTTTTCTCTCCCTTTAGGGCACCCTGATAAGTTAGCAGTTCACCACATAAGTTGGACAAATTCTCCCAGGGACACTGGAAATAGTATCTTCTTGTCAAATGAAAGAAGGTACACCTAAAAATCTGGGTGGGAAATGCAATCTACGCTCTTCTACCTGGGAAATCTCTAGTCAGCAATGCAGAGCCTCTAAATCAATGTCACTTTGCATAGTTTCTATTTTATTAAAAATATAAATACCTCTCAAGATTATCCTCGCATTTCTTCACTATTAAGTACATGGAACCTTATCTGGTCACAAGGTTTGATCATGCAAGTACACAAGGCTTCATTCAAAGGGCAACAGAAAGAGTAGAAAGAAAGCAAATCTGCCAGGTTATATAATATACAGCACTTAAAATTAGACTAATATCAGCCCACTGAAGAGCTATGAAGTAAGGATTCAAGAAATCTGTCTGTGCTAAAACAGACCTTTTCTTCTGTCTGGAAAACACAGATCAGAAAAGTCTATCTGGATGAAGTTTATCTGGATGCCCGTCTTTTCCCAGCACCTGCTCTAAAGCAATTCTAACACCCTAAAATAGAGATCTGATCTCTCGCGCAAGGGAATTATCCTACACTTATCAACCCTCCAAACTTCCAAATAATGCCATAGCAATGGAAATGTCTGCTCTAGTCTCAACAGTCGTAACTTTCAACACTGATAAACCCATCCCCAGGGCCTGACACAGAAACTGCGTGGGCAGGTCTATCACTCACATTGACATTATTTGGGGTCATAGACAAGAACAGAATAATTCCCAAAATTGGCTGATACGCTGAGATTGACTCTTACCCCATACCTTACACGAGATTCCCTATTTCTTCCCCTACAGAAGTCCCCTGAGAGGATCTACTGTCGTAGACATTCTGAGAGCTCCCTGCCAGCCCCCAGATTTTAACCCCTCCCCTCAGAATGTACCCCAGGCAAGCCAGCTGGGTTAGTTACGACCTTCCTACTTCACAGTCAGACCTCAGCCAATAAATAAGAATTGGATAAACCAGACGACTGGCCCAAGATTCTGTGCCTGGCCTGGAAAGTAAAGGAAGAAACTACAACTAGGACAAGGAAACAAAACTTGGTTAGGGATGAAATTGCACTCCCAACCTTCTCTCACCAGGAAGACCTTAGAACAGTCAAAGTAGAGGCAACTTGTTCTCTACTGAGCGTGCCTACAGGTCCAACCTAGTGATTTTTCCAAGTTAAATATACTGTATTGATATTAAAAAAAAAAAAAAAAAACAGGCCAGCTGGATGGGCCCCTCCCACATAGCATCCACAGGAATATGAGTGCCAAAGGGTCTCTGACTGTCCTCCAAAATGTAGGGAAACTGAGTCATGGCCTCCTTTTCTTGAGTCCTCCCCCCTCCCAGGGCACTGTGCCCTATCACACATCAGAAGTCCGTATGCTCTCATCATCAAGGCTGAACAGAAATGGTTTCTCCTTGGGGTGCTGGGGCTCCGACCTGTGCCTTATCCGGGAGCTGGGCAACACCCCAGAAGTACTGCTCTCCCCAAGCCGGGGCATGAACAAAGAGTCCCCAGGAGTCTCTTCAGCTGGAAGCAGCTTGTCCCCGGCCTGTGGGACGGGGGTCCAGGGTTGCCAGGAGGAAGCCACAGAGGGGGCTTTGCAGAGAGCTTTTTTCTCTTCCATAGGTGGCCGCCCCCTACACAGGACAGAGTTGGGCCCCCCTGAGAGGCCAGAGCTTCCAGAGCGAGTCAAAGAGATGGATCTAGAAAAGGACATATCCTACAAAAATAAAAGGGAAGAAAAAAAACAAAGGAAAATAAGGCCTTTCCTGACAATGTTTATCCCAAAACCCCAGGAAGAACACCCACCCATGATCACCCCCTCATAGGTCCAGAGGCACTGGTCTACAGAAATCAAGTCTGACCAACAGAATTCACCCCAGATGTGTCAAGGTCGGCCGACACAGGGAGACATGTAGAACACATCGCAGGCTCTGTCTCCTTACCCAACCCTACACCTCACCTCTTTCCAACAACAAAAAACAAAAACAAAAAATAAAATTTTGTACCTAAACCAGCAGAAAGAGGAAACAAACAAGACAGCCTGAGGCTTCGGCTGCTTCCAGGGACAGAGTGCTTGGCTGCGTCACCAAATAAAACCTGCCCACTCAGAGAGAATTCATCTCTAAGTTGACAGTGACCATGTACCAGAAAGGAAATGACTTACTCTGGGGTGGCACTTGAGGGCCTGAACAGCTGCCCCGATCTCCTTAATCCAGCTGTGCATGTCTTCTGGACTGTCCGCCTGCAAAACAGCCTTAGCACTTAGGGAGAAATGTTTGGCATTATGATTTCAGCTCACAAGTCTGTGGTTCAATTCTAAGTTTATAAAACCACACCATTAGAGCTGGAAGGAGCCCAGAGATCATGTCATCCAGTGGCTCTCAGACTTTTGAGGACATTTGTTTCCAGCAAACTCGTATTTGACACCCCATAAATAAAACAGCTCCACGTGGGGCAGAGGCCATTTCTGCTGAAGCCCCTCACCCTCTCTGGAACACAACCGGCCTTTACAGAAAAGGAAAATTTTTTTTTGTTGTTTCTTTTTTTAAGATTCCATTTATTCATTTGACACAGAAAGACACAGCGAGAACAGGAACACAAGCAGGGCGAGTGGGAGAGGGAGAAGCAGGCTTCCGGCCGAGCAGAGAGCCCGATGCGGGGCTCAATCCCAGGACCCTGGGATCATGACCTGAGCTGAAGGCAGACGCTTAACGACTGAGCCACCCAGGCGCCCCAGAAAAGGAAAATGTTGAGCCAAAGCTCAACACTTACGGTTGGTCTAGATTCCAGTTCTCCTGACTCCCAATGCAAGCATCTTTCTACCACAGCTATTCAAACAGAATAATCCCTTTTTCAACTCCAGTCCCGCCAAAGCCAAATCCTCTGCAAATCCTCCAAGATACATATTATCTCCAGGAACAAGGCTTCCCTCAAAGGACAAGCGACCTGGGTCTGTCCAGACTCCATCCAGGCCTGGAGAGTTGGTAGACTCGGAGCACCAAGCTTACCATCGTGTAGGACAAGCATATCCCCCAGAAATACCTACCAACCCCAGAAGGGGGCAGCAGCGGTTCTATGAAGAAAGGAAAATCAAATGGCCAAGCAGCGGCAGGTGGAGCCCTCAGAATTCTCAGCGCCTTCCAGCTTTACAGGGGTTGCATTCAAGTGAACCTAGCAAATGTTTGCTGCGGTCTTACACGTGGCATCAGGTGCCAGGCACAGAGATGAGACCAAGACCAAATCCCTGACCTCCAGAAATTTCCATTTGTTAATCTCTCTCTGCTCCCTGTGCCTTCCCCTAACAGCCCTACCCAAAATCACAAGTGTGTGCCTTTTCCTAAGCAAGGTATATGTAAACGCCACACTCCAGCCTGCAAAATTCCCCACATAGGCCCCTCACTTTCCCCATCCCCCAGATGATTCTTTCATGTTGCACTGTATCAGAATAAAACACGACTAGTTTTTTTTAAATCCTCAAACTGGTGCTCCTACCCCTTTCTGTCACCCCAAACAAACCCTCATGAGTTAGGTGTGTGCAGAAGACACTTAGAAAAGAAATGGTTTCAGGGGCGCCTGGGTGGCTCAGTCGGTTAGGTGTCTGCCTTCCGCTCAGGTCATGATCTCAGGGTCCTGGGATGGAGCCCCGTGTGGGGCTCCCAGCTCAGCGGGGAGTCTGCTTGTCCCTCTGCCTCTGCCCTCCCCCCACTCCTGCTCCCTCTCACACTCTCTCTCTCAAAGAAATAAATGGAATCTTAAAAAAAAAAAGAAATAGTTTCACATCCTGGCACACTGGGTTAAGCGGGTATAGCAACAAGGTGAACACCTCTCTCACATGCTAGAGCTGCAAATTCCCTGTATTCTCTCTCCCCTGGGCTTTTCCCAGTTGTGTGACAACCTGGTGGTTGGTTTTCCAAGAAAAAGATAAATCCATCCCTAGTCCAAGAAGATAAACAGGATAAGCTCCAAGATTCTTCCAGAAGTTATTTTACTAATCTCAGGGCTAGCCTGTTCCACAAGTAGAGCCACTGGGAAAATGCAATGAACTCATTTAGGTAAAGCACTGTGAACACAAAGTATTAGTTATTGCTGTTATCATTATTACATGAGGGACACAAATGAAGCCTTAAATTCCAACACTATGTATAGAACATACATATGTTAATTGGCCTCTCCCTGAAACTTTTTTTCTGTTTCCTCATACTCAAACCGCAGATAATTCCTGCCTAAGGATCAACTTGTCCAGATCAAATAAGATAACATATTTGGCTACTTTGAGTTGAATGAGATGGAGGTAATTAAATTGTCCACTAGTAGAAAAGCATTTCTGAGAGATTTTCCTTCTAGGAAGACAGAGGATTTGGTAGGGAGAAATGTCAGAGGATCGGGAGACATGGAGATAGGAGCTGAGGGAGAGACAAACATTTCCCACATCATGCAGGAGGTCCAGGATTTTCATGAAACAGACTGCACAATCCACATGACGCCAGTTTCCAGGGCTATTAAGCTACTTGTACCCCTTCCACCACCCAAGCACAACACAGCAACCCCCACGTCAAATGTCCCACAAGCCACAGGCCACCTATCTGTCCTTTGAGACCCCACCAATGCCCTCATATGTCTCTCCAGGAACCCACCACACCACGAGCCTAGCGGTCTTCACCCCAGTCTCCATCTAGCAAGGAGCCACTGAGGAAGAGAAAACTAGGCACCACCTGACTTAACATCTGCGGAGTCAGACACAAGAATCAAAATCCTCTAAAACACATTTAAATTGTTTCCAATTCCCCTCTCATATAAGTAACGCTACTATTCACATTTTTGTGCACAAAGCTTTTTTTCATTCTTACGATTCTTAAGCTCCTGGGAAAATTACTAAAGAATATGCATTCTTTTAAGGCTCTCGTTACATCTGACCAGAGAGATTTCTGGCCAAAAAGATAGATTTCACTTGCCACCAATATATTATTTTTTATGTGCATCCTTGCTAGAATTAAGTATTACAATTTTTAAAGACTTTGCGAACATGATGGGCAAAATAAATCTCTGTCTTAAAACATTTAGTAATTGGGGCGCCTGGATGGCTCAGTCGTTAAGCATCTGCCTTCGGCTCAGGTCATGATCCCAGGGTCCTGGGATCGAGCCCCGCATCAGAATCCCTGCTCGGCAGGAAGCCTGCTTCTCCCTCTCCCACTCCCCCTGCTTGTGTTCTCTCTCTGGCTGTCTCTCTCTCTGTCAAATAAATAAAATCTTTTAAAAAAAATTTAGTAATTAATAAAGATGGAAACTGTTTGCTAATTATGTTTTTTCCCCAATTCTCTAATCCTGCTTAAGGACATTTTCTGTCAGATAACCTATAGAGTTAATCCAGCCAGAAGGATAGTAATAAACATTAGTAAGCATTATTTTAATTTTTAACAAATGTTATTTTAAATATTATTCAGGGGGTGCCTGGGTGGCTCAGTCAGTTAAGCATCCGACTCGATCTCAGCTCAGGTCTCAATCTCACAGTCGTGAGTTCAAGCCCTGTGTTGGGCTCCACACTGGGTGTGGAGCCTACTTAAAAATTAATAATATAAGATAAAATAAATTAAAATATTATTTAAATAGAAAAGCAAATATTGTGATAAGAATGAGAAAAAAGAGACTACCACTTTATTGAGATCACAACTGTAATCTCTATTAGTAGTTTTAGAACTTGGATTCGCTGGCAACAAAAATTCAGTGAAACCTTAAAAACTGTATGCAAACATATGGCATATGTGTATGTCTACCTTTAATGGAAAGCCTGTGTTTAGCTCTCCTCAAAAACCCAAAAACATCTTAAAACACCATCACAAAGGTGAACCAGAAGTACAAAATAGAGCTGAAGTCCACGCACCCCATGATGAATTATGAAAAGTCTAAAAGATGCTTAAAACTCAGTAGAACAAAAGGGGAATTGCCACACTCATACCTTCATCTCTTCCTGGCATGCTTAAGTGTGTGCATTTGTTTCTGGCACTTGGTTAGAAAGAAAAAGTAGGGTTTCTGTCCTTGAGAACAGTTGTTGAGGTGAGAGGAATAAAGGATACTAAAAGGAATCACGGCAGCCTGAGGTTTATTGTAGTCTAATGAGCTTTTTTACTGAGCACCTACAATAAACCCAGTACCATAACAGATGCAATGGTTTGAAGCAATGAATTCCAGAGGTCATCAGTAACAGGCCTCCAGTACCTACCAGGGTGGCTTCTGCTGCAGCTGTCCAACATTTGTACGATGCTCCTTCTGCATTCTATTCCCCACCTCTGCGCTGCCCCCCTTCCAAAAGCTAATAATCCCTGCCTTCTTCCCAGGACCCAATCCCGTTTTTAGACACAGCCCGGCCACATCCAACTGTCTAGGCTGTATACTACATAGTTCTGAGTGATGTCATTCACCCTATAGTCTAAATTAAAACAGTACGTATCCAAAGAGGTCTAGCTCAACACTCCGCAATCCAGATGGGAGCCCTCTTATTATTATTCTTATCCTGACACAGACCCCTAGTTCTGGCAACTGGGCTTATGCCAAGTTACCCAAACCAGCCTGCACTACATTTCTCATCTAGAGTAACTAGATCCTCCAACATAATACCCCTGACCTTCTATGACTGGGAAATAGAGAAATGGTGAACCCTGCATGCCTTGTATTCCAAGGACTGAAATCTCATCTTGAATCCTTGCCCAGAACTGAGAACCGTCTACAGGCTGATAATTTTGCTGACTCGCCAAGCTTAGATACCTGATTACTGCCAGATCCTGGATCTTGGTCACCATGATCCATCTGCCATGACAGCCAGTGCCCCCAAGCTGGTCTCTCCTGGTTATCTATGGCCACACCCTCTACATCTTGGGCTCTGCACCAAGCTGCTTTTTTTTTTTATACTTTTTTTCAATTTAAATTCAATTAATAACATATGATGTATTATTGGTTTCTGAGGTAGAGGTCAGTGACTCATCAGTCTTATATAACACCCAGTGCTCAATCCATCACGTGCCCTCCTTAATGTCCAGCACCCAGGTACCCCATTCCCCCTCCCTTCTCCCCTCCAGCACCCCTCAGTCTGTTTCCCATGATTAAGAGTCTCTTATGGTTTGTCTCCCTCTCTGATTTCATACCAAGCTGCTTTTAAACAACACAAGGGAGTAGATCCTGATCTAGCACCTGATTAGGGGCCTCCTAATCAGTTACACAATTCAGGTTTATGATCTCGAACAAATAATTTACCTTCAGACACTCCGTTTCCTCATCTGTAAAATGGAGATGGCCTCAGAGATTGCTGAGAAGTTAAGTGATATGCTGCCTGTAAACTCCTTAGCACCATGCCTCTCACAACTGAGTGTCCAACAAACGGTAGCATCCCAGGGTTCAAATTATACGTAAGCGTGACATAGAAGGCATGTGTGACAGAAGGTAAATGACCAACACCTCAGCAGTTGGAAGCCAGCGCCATGTTGTCGCCCAAGCCTCCGTGCCCTGTCCAAGGAGCCTGTTTGCTCTGCCTCCAGCTGCCCGGCTCTCTGTGCTAGCTTCCCTGGATACCGAGCATAAGTGGTTCTTTCAGGCAGATTTACTGAACATACACTAGGAAGCAGGTCAGAATGCCACTGAGGCACGGTGGCAAAAGTTGCTGGCACCACACTGTAGGAGGAATCATTCTATGCTTTTACCTTTTGCATGAGACACAATTTTTCCTTGGAACAAATGACTGACAAACTATCTGTCAAACTTACTCAGACTGAGGCATATGGTGGACTCTTTCTCAAAAATGAATGAAAGGAGTCCATTTAGTCAAGCAAAATCATGAAAGTATTTTTTTGCAGATGATGAATTTTGAGGTCTCAAACAAAATTAGAATTCCAAAAAGTGGTATCCCCCTCCATAAGCTTGACAGCTTTCTGTATTTAACGACTTCGTTGATGAGGATCCTTGTGGTGATATTAACAAAGGTGATTTTTTGATATTATATAATAAAGTGTGTCAACATTTGGAAGGTCTGCATACCTCAGTGGGACCACTATTTTCCTAATGACCAGTGCACACAGTTACAAAATCATGCACTGGTAAAAAGGATCCATTCAAAGTGCAAAACTGGCCAGTAGATTTTCACCTAAGACTATGAAAGTTTATGGAGATTGATACTGGCTTCCAAATACCACATTGCACCTAAACATTAAGAAAATACCACTTGTCAAGTTTTGATATAGAATCAGAGAAAAATATCCACAATTATCTGAAAAAGCTATTAAAATATTCCTTTTTTCCAAATACATATCTGTGCAAGGCCAGATTTTCTTCATATCCTTCAACCAAAACAACATATGGCCACAGATAGAACGCAGGAGCAGAGAGAGAATCCTGCTGTCCTCTAGTAAGCCAGCCATTAAAGAGATTTGCAGAAATGTAAAAAACAATGCTACTCTTGTTGCTTTCTTTGTTTTAGAAATATACCTGTTTTTCATAAGATATTACTTGTGTCAACATAAATGAGTTTTTAGTTGCTATCTGACAATAAATTAATACATATTCTTAAGGATTTTTACTCTATATTCTTCTCAATCTTCTGTTCTCTTTGAGTTAGGTGCTATTAACAGACTTGTCCATTCGCTCATTTGCTTATTTCAGGGTGATGCTAGTGTTCTGTTATCCCAGAAATGTGGGAGCAGAAGGCAAAGGAGGGTAGAAGTGATGAGAAGCTTCTGGTAAATGTGCACATGCTTTGTTCAAAAGTGTTTTGAACATTGTTTTTGTTGGAGTTCTTGTTTCCCAAATCACTCTCTCTCGTCCAAAGCTCTTTCCCAGCATAATCTTTCACTTGACAAATACTTATTTCATACCACCCATGTGTCAGGCACTGTCTCTCTGAGGACCTTCATAACATGTCAACTCGAATGTCCCACAGACACTGTCAACTCAGAACCCCCAACACGAAGGCTGCCTTTCCGCTCACCAGTCCCTCCTCCCCTGCTCCGGTCTGAGTGACGGCTGCCATCAGGCACCCTGAGGCCCAGGCCAAACACCCAGCAGTGTCCTTACCTCCCCTGTCTCCCCTCACCCCCCATCCAACCCACAACCAAGTCCCAGAAAATACTCTTCAATAGCTTTTAAATTGTCCACTTCTCTCCATCCTTCCTCGTTCAAGCTTCCTTCACCCCTGACCCGAATTACGACGACAGCCCCCAACCTGCTCTCCCTACCTTGTCTTGCCCTTTACCCTCCCTCATCCATGTTTATACTGCACTGGGCCTGGAAACCCACAGCCAGCACACCAGTAACGCGGCTGGGTTGAGGGATATCACCTCCACTTCACAGATGAGGAAAACAAGGCTTGAAAGGTAGATCATTTGCCCAAGTAGTATTTTTAGAAGGCAGAGCTGATTGGACCACTCCCAGGGCTCCACCTCAAGGGGCCCTAACCTTCAGGATAAAGTACAAGCTCTTTGGCAAGGGCTGTAAGGCATGGGCCCTCCGTGTGGGGGTCCAGTCTTGCATGTGCTCTGTGCTCCTTTATCTGTGTATCCTGTGTTCACACATGCTGTTCCCTCTGCCTGGGCCACTCTTCCCCCAACGGACTCAGTTTAGATGTGCCTTCCTTCAGGAAACCTCCCCTCACTCCCTGAGACAGGGGAAGGTGCCCTTTTTATGAGTTCCATGACAACCACCACTCACTGTAATGATAGCACTAACCACACTGGTTTTTTTGGTTTTTGCTTTTTTGTTCTGTTTTTTATTCCCTCAGCCCCTTCAGTGAGGTTGTTCCATACTCACAATGCATTTAAGTTCTTTTGTCATCATCCACACGCCATGCTCGAATCACCTGACCTCCTAAGTGATTTTTTTTTAATTCACATATATTAAAGTTTTCTACTCTTTACTTTACCTTGTGCTATAAAGTTCTATTTCATGCATCCGCCACTAAAGTGTCATATAGTTTCACTGCCCTAACCCCCCCCACAGCGTTCATCTACCCAACACTCCCTTCCCCCACCCCATCACACTGTTGCAATTGCATTTACTTGACAACATCTCTCTCCCTCTGGTTCAGGATCTGTTCTCTTTAACAGTGTCCCCAGTATGAGGCAAAATGCCTGGCATTCTAAGGATACCCTGCATATGCCTGTTAAATGCAAGGACCGGAAACTGTTTTGAACCTACAGCTTAAACTTTGTCCCCAAATGACAATGGAACCAGCTCTAACAACCCCAGCAAAGCTAGCCACAGCTCCCTTATGCTCTCTCTTCCCCAGTGACACATGCTTGGGTCAATGAGCGGAGCCCACAGATAGTTAAAGCTGCCAGCATGTCTGCTCAGCTCGGGGGGGCAGGAGGACCAGCTCGGAGGGGTCAGGATTATGGAGCTGCTGCCCAAGAAATGGGGTGGGGGGGCCCTCTGGAAGGGATGGTACTTAATGGGGATTGACACCTGGAACAAAGAAAGGGCACTGGGAACCCTGAAAAGCCTCGGCTGGGGAGCCCCACATCTCAACCAACACAGTGCATGGCAGCCTGTATGCCGGAAATGAGGCATTATCATGATGCTGTGTGGATCGAGGCATGTTCCGTGGATTGCCAGGCCGGCTTGGGTACGGACTTGGCACTGAGAGTTTAGGCCCTGCTCGGGGATCTGCTTTTCTAGCTCCTATGATTTGAGGAAGAGCTGGGAGAGCTCCAAAGCTGTGGGTGGAGGGAGAAGCTTCAGAGAGCTGAACTGTCAGAGCCCAAACAATGACTTTCTCTGTGCAGCTGGGCTTTGCACCTGGTGCCGGCACAGGGCCCTCTGGGCTTCTGTCCTTCCGCACACAGAGATGTCCACACAGGCGGGGCTTATAAATACCCTCCAAAGGAGAAGTGAAACCCCTGGCTAGTTCTCCTTTTCTCTGCTTAGCTGGCGCCCACCAGCTGAAAGCAGCTAGTACAAACTCGCATTCCCCAGTTCAGAGGCTCAACCTGCTCTCACTATTTTATGGTTGGGAAGCTTCTGGCAAACATCCTGTTTAGAATAAAATGGGACTCAGACTGACAATTGGGGGCTAAATTTACCACCTAGAAACTTTAAACAAAACAAAAGAGAAAGCAGAGGAAAGGGCGAGACCTTTTAGCACACCATTCACAGAGACAGAACACCAGTCTTCTCAGAGTGAGCTTTTTACCTGTATGTAGAAGGTCCTGGAGCTTGTTATGATTTCAAACAGGTTGTCCCTCATTAAGAGATCACTAGACAAAGAGAAAGAAAGTTACCAGGCACGCCCGCGCACACATTGAGGACTTGATTCATCCTAAGTCAAGGCTCCAGAGCTTTGGGGGCTCCCAGGTCATTCCTCCTCCAGTCTCTGCCTCAAAAAACATGAGGGGGTCTCCTCTAGCTTCACTTCCTACAGGCTCCCAGGAGGTTTCACCATGCCCATGGAAACCCCACACATACACACCCCACCGCCAGCTGTAACAAGATAAAGTTCCTTTCCCTCTAAAATCCTGCCTAATACCCACCACATCCCATAACACCTACAGTTGTGGGGAGAGGGGTATTTTTTATTATTTTCTAAAGATTTATGTATTCATTTGAGAGAGAGAGAGAGGGCACAGGGGAGGAGCAAAGAGAGAGGGAGGGGAGAGAATCTCAGGTAGACTGCCCGCCGAGCTCGGAGCCCGACTCAGGGCTCCATGTGGGGCTCCAGACAGGGCTTGATCTCACGACCCTGAGATCATGACCCCAGCCGAAACCAAGACTCAGACACCTAACCAACGAAGCCACCAGGCGTCCCTGTGGGGTATTTTTTAGTAGCTAAGATGTATAGTTCTTTCTGCAAAGCATTGCTTTAAGTGGTTTTTTTTCAGGGTCAAGCAGATGAACATTTTATTGGTTTTATAAATATGTAAGTAAAACTAATCAATTATTTATTTTATGTATTTATTACTATGAAGATATTATTTATATATAAACATATAGAGAGAGTTTGACATGTAACATTTTGTTAGTTTCAGGTATCCCAACATTTGTATAGATTGTGAACTAATCACCACAAGAGGTCTAGCTGACATCCATCGCCACACATAGCTACAAGTTCTTTTTTTCTTGTAATGAGAACTTTTAAGGTCTACTCTCTCAGCAACTTTCATATATACAATACAGCATTATTAATTATAGTTACCATACTGTACATTACATCCCTAGGACTTATCTATTTTATAAATGGAAGTTTGTACCCTTTGACCCCTCCTTCACCCATTTTGCCCAACCCCCACGCCCGGCAACCACCGATCTGTTCTTTGAGTGCTTTTGTGTGTGTTGTCTCATCCAATCTTTACAACAATCCAATAAAGAACTTAAGATTTTCCCTACCTTGCGGATGAGGAAACCCAGGCTCAGAGAGGTTATGTGACTTGACGCCAAAGTTAGTAAACAGCAGAGCAATGATTTGAACCCAGGTCTGACTTCAGAGTCTATGCTTTTAATTACTCCACTACCACTTGCCTCTCCTAAGGGAACCAACTCTCATTTCCAAAACCTTCAGCCCCACAAGCAGCCACCTTCTCAGAATTTAATGAAATTCCCGCTCTGTGGGGAGCTGGGTGGCTCAGTCGGTTAAGCATCTGACTTCGGTTCAGGTCATGATCCTGGGATCCTGGGATCGAGCCCCGTGTGGAGGTCCCCACTCACTGGGGAGTCTGTTTGTCCCTCTTCCTCTGCCACTCCCCCCCCCCGCACTCATGCACGCAATCGCGCTCTCTCCCTCAAATAAATAAAATCTTTAAAAAAAAAAGAAAAGAAAAGAAAAGAAAAGAAAGAAATTCCCCCTGCGTGCCACCCTGTCCTGGGCTGAGACAGGAAGCTAATGAGAAGTGGAAGGAGAGATCAGACTACTTTAAGATGCTTCAAACTGGGTGTGAGTTTGGGAAGAAGAATCCTGACTTCTGCAAGGAAGAAGGTGAGAAGTAGCTGGTGCTCAGTGACAAACCTCAAATCAGCTAAAATTATTTGCAGTGTTAAGTGCCTGCTGTGTGTATCCTGGTGCTGTGGGCAATACGTAAGGAGCACAAGGTCTAATTCCTTCCCAATAAAAGAACAAAAAAAAGCAAAACTATACAATTAGATGTCAGACTGTGTGTTGTATGCCAAGGGTGAGAATAATTCCAAAAAAGGACTGATCACAGGCAGAGCTGGCTTCAGGAATGAAGACTTGGAAGGACGTGACAGGCACTGAGCCCGTGACATGGGCACCGGGCAGAGGAGGAACATAAGACTAAAGACCCACGTGGGAAGGGACAGCAAGACAGGGGTCAGAAGGACCTGGGGCTAAATCCCGACTCCACTTAGAGAAAAGGTATTTTAGGAATATTTTAAAATCTATGTGAGCCTTTGTACCCCAACTGTAAAATGGAGATGAGAAGACCTCCCTTATCAGGCTGGCCAGCCCAACGATCAAGGTATAAAGTATATAAGGCATCTGCTACAACGTACGCCGTATAGAGGCCACTTGAAACACATTTCACTGACCATCATTACTGTCTGAGTAGAGATGGCTCTTCTTTCTGGCTAAAATGTGTTAGCTTCTTAAATTACTCACACACATACAGCACACTCATGTCATCAACTACTGAGGATGTGAACGCAAAGCAGGGAGGAAATCCCCGCCCTTATCACATCTATTTTCCAGGCTACGCGTTGCCTTTCAATTCGGTTCAGTTCAATTCGATTGAACTCAATTTAACAAATGTTTGAGGACTACACAGATGCCCTCAAGCTTCCTGACTGGGTCTGGGAAGGCCACACATTCTCAGAAGCCTGGAGCCTGCAGAGCCTTGCAGACTTTCTTCCCTGATGATCTTCAGCTCCCTTAATTCCTTCACTAAGAATTCAGTGTGGTTCTGGCAGCGAGGGACTCCGGCCAAGTGCAGAGCACTCTTGGGACTGAACGTCGTCTGGGCTTGCTAAGCTGCCCCACCATGCCCAGGTAGCCAAACAGCTACCTGTCCGCATGGGCCCTCTGGAATCAGGGGAGGCAGGAACCGTCTCTGAGGATGAGCCATGTCCAATCTCTCCTCTGCCCACCATCAACGTCTGGAACCACACTTCTGAACTTCCATCTATGGCCACTTGCACAGATGACAAATTGCCACTGGGAACTTCCCTAATCTCTACTCTGCAACTGTCATTTTCAAGAGTCAGTACAGCCCCAGTTCAGTCCCTGCTCCCTTGGGTCATGTGGCATTTGTCGGCATGCGAGACCATCCCATGCCTCCACATGAGAACAGTCTGCCTGCTGCTAATCGCCTCCCTGATGATGCTGGCTTGGCTTTGCACCATCCGTGAGATGGAAAGACACAAACAGTCTCTAAAGACGGCTGATTGGGACGCTGGATGGCTCAGACAGTTAAGCATCTGCCTTTGGCTCAGGTCATGATCCCAGGGTCCTGAGATCAAGTCCCACATTGGGCTCCCTGCTCGGTGGGGAGCCTGCTTCTCCCTCTACCTGCTGCTCCCCCTGCTCGTGCTCTGACAAATAAATAAATAAAATCTTAAAAAAAAAAAAAGCCTGCAGATTAAGGGGCAAAAAGAGGATTTCTAGATGCCCAGATACCCTTGGGTTTCTAAAGTTTAGTTCTAAGGGCATCTGTATCTGTAGGAGATATGGAAAGGCCCTTGCCTCAGGGCCCCAGATCCCAAACTCATCCCATACACTATGGCACACGGAAGGTAAACCATTTCCTAATGGGAAGCGGAAATGTCCAAAGGGAGTCACACACACAGAGCTGCTGTGAATCACCCTTGTGTTAAGGGGACGTCAGGGACTTTGTCAAAAGGAGAAGAAGGCATAAGAAGGTCAGGGAAGAGGCACTGGCATCGCATTGATCTGACCAGAAGTGCTGATAAGTGAGAAACCTAAGGGCACAGTCCCCACTCGGAGCCCTCGGCCTCCTAGGCAATGAGCATCTAACACTTGAGAAGCAACCCAACACCAGTCTCTTCTTTCTTCCCAATATTCTTTCTTTTTCTCCACCAGAAAATTATTATATAGGCTCCATGCATCTCCTCAGGAGCCAGAATAAGGTAGTGGGAAAAGATAAGCTTGCCCAGTATGGTCTCTTAGCTGCATCAGTTGGGATGTGGTGAGATGTCAGCCCCTGTCATGTGCATGGAAGAACATTCTCGAATAGAGCCTCAGAAGGGTAGTAAATGAAGATTTAAGCCGGCAAATGGGGGATTTTTATCAGAAAAGAATAAGCACAGATGATTACCCAGATTTGACCAGACACTCATGGGTCTTGAGAACGTCCTTGAGAAATATAGTGCGCAGTGGTTCTCGGTCCTGGCAGAAAAAATAAGTAAAGAAAGATAAATGAGGCTATCCACATAATGCCACAACCCAGATAGGCTGACCAACGTACCTCTCTGGTCAGAGTTGGTTGGCTAAAACCAGGCTGCAAACAAGGCAAGGTCTCAAAATAACTATCAAGTGAGGAAAAAATTCTAAGAAGGTACTCTGTGGCTCCGACCACAGAGCAGCTCGGTGCACAGCGGGAGGGAGGAAGATAAGGCCATGTTGCTGTATCAATGTAAAGATGCGCACACAAGAAAGATGGAAGTGGGACGGAGGCACCTCTTAAGCCCATGTGTGTGTCCGCATCTCTACTCACACACACACACGTGAGTGTTATTCACGGGCCTCTGGCTTCCATGACCTGTCAGAAGGGCCCCAGAGCGACTACAAACCTGCTCACACTTGAAGTAGCAGATAGTAAAGTCATCAAGTGCAAAGAAGCGACGTTTCCAGCTCTTCCGCTGAAAATAAAAGTAAAGAGCAGGACGTTAAAAAGAGGCCCCAGCATTCAGGAGAATGTTCTAGGTCTACACTCCTGGGTACCCAGCCGGAAGGAAGCTGGGCGCCCACATTCAGACATCGGGGTGGGGGGGCTGCAAAGACTTCTTCCCATCAGGGGCAATGCCTCCAACATGCAGGGGTGAATGTTTAGTTCCAAACCTCCCACCGGTTTGGGAGGTAGTTTAGGAGGCAGCGAGTGCCGAGTGCCGAGGAAGGCAGCTCATCCTGCCAGCCAGCTGCCCCCTGTGCTACGCCCACAGCCACAGCCCCCAGGAGTCACCAGGACTCACTCGAGCCCCAGCGCCGACACTCACCACATTCCCTTGCTTCACACAGTAGCCGCTCTTAATGAGGGGGGGCCCGGAGGGAACACGGCTGCCTGTCGTGGGGATGTAACTCTGAGACCTTCGAAGGATGGCGTGGGACCCGGGCTCACTCCCTTCCTGCCCATCCCCACCATTCTACAAGGAAAGAGCGTCAGGATTAGCACCTCCCCTCATTCCTCATGCAGCAAACCGGGTACCTCACCCAGCCCTCTCTCGCGAATCCTCTCTCGCCTCTTTACCCACGATGGCAATTAAAGAAGAAATAAACAAGAAAGGGAACATTTGCGTGCTCCTGTCAGGCACTGTACTGGGTAATGTCACAGAACAAGGCTCAGGGAAGTTGGGCAGACCCAGGAGAAAGGTAAGGACTGAGAATAAAAACCAGAAGAGGGGAGAAACACTCTAATGGGAGGAGGGACAGTGGGCTTGTTTCCAGGCTCACCTGCCTTCCCCAGCTCCATCTCCCATGTGATTTACAAGTGCCAGTCTCCCACATATGGTGCAGGACCATACTGGCCACACAGCCTCAAGATAATGGTGGCCTCGATTTCTGCACTGCTATTCTTCATACCCACCGCCGTCCTGGATTTTCTTGACTACCCCAACTGCACTGGCTCCCCCACCCCCAACTATCTTTCCTCTGTGCTGACCCCCTCTATGCCCATCACTGGCCCACTATGGATGCTCCCATAGCCCCACCGGCCCCTGGCAGCCCCGGGCCCCAGCACCTGGTTGATGGGCGTGTGTACCACCACCCCTCCGATGATCTCTGTCTTATAGGCCACCTGCGGCTTCTTCTCTAGGGCTGGAGGAGCTGGTAGGCTTTTTATAACTTCGGTAGTCAAGGCCAGGTTCCCAACTTTGGGTACCTGGAAGAAAGACAGCTTAGGATAAATGGAGGGGGGAAGCACCGGGGAAGGGGCGAGAAAAGGTAATGTACCAAATTCTAGGAAGACCTCCTCTCCTCCCCAGTCCTTCCATCGACCCATACCTGAACATGAGGAACTCTGCCAGCAGATCCCGCTCTACACACACACATGCACACACAAGTACTGAGCACCCACTATGAGCCACCCCTTCCCTGACTACAGGCCAAAGACAAAACAGCAAACAGACACGTCCTGCCCTCACGGCATGGACATTCTAATAGCAGAGACGGACAAAAAACACAGAGCCGAACAGTCAGAATAATTACAAATTGCTATGAGTGCTGTGAAGAAAATAAACAGGAGCTGAGATAGAGAGCAGCAGGGGCACTACTTGAAATGGGAGTGGTTAGCGGAGGTCTCCAGAGGAGGAGATGTTGGAACAGTAACCTGGAGATGAACAGGAACCAGAGATGTAAGGAGGAGCATGCTAGGCCAGGAAACAGGTAACATACATGGGAGCTATGGTACAGAATTAGGGGAGCATGAGCTTCGGAGCCCAAGGACCTGGAGTACCAACTCCTGACCTGTCACTAACTTACTCAGTGACATTCAGCAAATCATTGAACCTCTGTCTAGGCCAAAACTGCCCCGTGTAGAAAATGAAAAGGGTAATAATATTCATGTCATAGAGTCATTGTGCTTATCAAATGACAGAGTATATATACTTAAAAACTTCAGAAATACAAAAATATAAAAGTACAGTTGACTCTTGAGCAACTCAGGGGATAAGGGTACTGACCCCTACACAGCCAAAACTCCATGTATAACTTTCAACTCCCCCCAGTTTTAACTACTAATAGCCTACTATTGACCAGAAGCCTTACTGGTAACACAACATCGTAAATTAACACATATTTTGTATGTTCTATGTATTATATGCTGTATTCTTATAATAAAGTAAGCTAGAGGGGCGCCTGGGTGCCTCAGTCATTAAGCGTCTGCCTTCGGCTCAGGTCATGATCCCAGGGTCCTGGGGTCGAGCCCCGCTTTAGGCTCCCTGCTCAGTGGGGAGTCTGCTTCTCCTTCTCCCTCTGCCCCTGCTTGTGTTCCCTCTCTCGCTGTGTCTCTGTCAAATAAATAAATAAAATCTTAAAAAAAAAAAATAAAGTAAGCTAGAGAAAAGAAAATGTTATTAAGAAAACCATAAGAAAGAGAAATACACTTCCAGTCCTGTAAAAAAAAATCTGCATATAAGTAAACACATGCAGTTCAAACCCATGTGGTTCAAGGGTCAAAAGTATTACAAAATACTTTAACGAACATTTCACGACTGGCATTAACATTTACAAACACAGCCCTTTTTGAAGAGTTATCTCTGTTCCTCTCCTTGGCAGAATTAGGGCACCACAGACAATCACAGAATCACAGAATTTTTATGGCTCCTTTGACACCACAGGCCACAGATTGCAAACTGGTGGCATGAGAGCAGATTCTGGCCAAACGGTGTTTTGTTGGTCTGATGCAGTGTGTTTTTCAATCTACATTTAAAGTTTGGGACAGTTCACCTAAAAATTCAGACTTCCAACCAAGCAGTGTTTCTCCCTTTAGATGGAGAACATTCTTCAGTTTGCCACTGTCCCTACCCTGCTCCTCACCACCAAGGCCACGAGTCAGGTGCTGTTCACCCTCATTTATGTTGCTTTCCTTCCTCCTTCCTCACTTCACTCTTTTATACTGGCAATTCTGATGAAATCTTTCATTTTGTAAGAAAACAGGAGAGGCCCAAGCTAGTCAAGTCAATGGCCCAAAGCCATGGTTAATAACTGGACAGAGACTAGACCCTAACTGCCCACTGGGGCGATATGCACAGGATCATAGAGCCTGTCCTTCACACAAACTCAGCACCTCTGTGGGTCTGCAGATTCCATGAGTGACGCTAACATCTTCACTGCTTCTACAGCCTCGGGAATCAGAAGGAACTAAGTAAGAATCTAGACCTTTCAAGAGCTCATGATTCAGGGCCCTTGGAGAATTCTGTCAAGGACGAGACGGAGGACCACTCCATTCCATGTCTGTTCAAAGGAGGAAGAGCTCCAGGATGACACTGGAGCCCCAGAAAGGAGACTCCTCTTCCTGGACTGTGCACTCCATTTACATAAACAAGGGTGACCTCTGCCCACCAGCTCTCCAGATGGAGCCAGAAATCCACCTTCTCTTTCCCTTCAGCTGTCCACACAGCAGTTCCCACCTCTATGAGCCCCATTCAGCGCCAGGCAGTGTGCCACACTCTGCTGCATGATCTCTATCTCAAGCAATCTTATGAAGTAGGCATTATCTTCTCCATTTTATAGATGAGATAAATGAAAGCTCATTAAAATGAAGTAAGTTCCCCCTGCCTGACTCTCCATTGCTGAACGTCCCACTACCCACTTATGCCACCCTTTCTTTCCCTGAGCTTCACTATCGTGTGACGGGACTCCTTTGAGGATGTTGATTATTGCTGGGATGTTTAGTGACATCATCACCAAGGAACAACAGAAACTCCCCACACATGACCTAAATGAATTCCAGCAAAGAAGAAGGAGGCAAGTAGCCCTTTAGAGTTCCCAGTGGCCAGAAAAGGAATTCATGTTAGCTTAGCTGTTGTGTGGCCTCTCAGAATCTTGTCAGCCCTTGTTATCATGGGCTGCTTCTGACTGTCTGCCCAGAGCTTTTCCAGAGCTTCCTGAGACTGAACCAGCCTGTGGAGGACAAACACAACAGTAACTATGCCCCAGAACTTGAAAACAAGGTCATTCTTTTGGTTTGGCCATATCCCCAGAGGCCTAAATTCAAGGTATGACCTCTTCCATCCACCTGTGAAGTATTCTCTGATGTGGGGAGAGCGTATGGATCTCACTTGCAATGT